TCCGGGTGAAGGACGGGTAGCAGCGTAAGAGCTGCAGGTCAGCGGCCGAATACACGGGAGAACAAGTCAGAACAACACGCCATAGATCAAGCAATAGAGGACAGAGGAGAGTTTAAAAGGGAGTTTGCATATGGAATAGCAAACGAAACTCTTGAGTAACCAAAACCCATGGCAGAAGGGTTGGCCTTGGGAGTTGGGTCTCGGAAGGGAAGAAAAGCGGAGGACGGAGAGGGGAAGGAGAAAGGGTGAAAAAAAAGAGAGAGAGAGCTGAGATGAGATGATGCCAAAGAAAGCAGGATGAGAGCGTAAGGCGGCCCTAGAGCGGAGAGAGCCAGAAGTGAGTAGTGAGTGGGGAGAAGCGGTATGGTATCGTTCAGGGTACCTTTTCTGGGCCAAGGAGTTGTCAGGCCCGCAGGATGTTTAATCCAATTTGGGTCCAGGTTTATAATACGAATCGTCTTCACGGTTTGATTGATTAATTTATTTTACCACTTGAGTCGTATATACACCTACAGTGCAGTCCTCCGGTTACTACCGTTTACTATACCTTGTAAGAAGGACCTAACTAAATTGCCCCGTCATAGACCCAAGAAAAGAATGTCAATAAACGTCCATGTTATAGGTCATTCGATGCGGTTCCCAGAGGTTGTCGGCCACCCATCATGCGGACTTTACATCCATACCTACCTTTCGGGAAAGAAGAGGTAAAAAAAAAAAAAAAAGGTCGTGTGGCAAGTCAGGGAACGTAAGTATCAAGAGAGAAATCCGTGTTTGTATCATACGTACCAAAAGGCCTCCATAACTTTACTGCCCGGGAGAAATAATCAGAAGGGAAAGAAAGGACGAATAATAATAGGAAGGGGGAAAATAATAGTCCCATCACTAGTACGGAGAACGGCGTACCGTATGGGAAGGCCCGCCCCAACTACCGTACGGAATGGCAAGGCGGCGGGTATTTTCATACGTAGTCACGGACACCTCCTAAATTAACAGTGACCTCCGTTACAGAAAAGAATACATGCCAGAATTGACTGATGATGCTACTAGGTCACTAGTAAAGTCTTCTCTTTCTCCTTCTGGAACATTGATCCCTACCAACGATCGATCGGAAAAGCAATCATGAATGGAGTCATCCAAAACCTAGTAATTTTTGGTCTGGAAGTTTCACCTCGATTCTGTTTTGCTTTGTTTTTATTTTTAAAGAAACTGGGGTAGGAAAAGGTAAGACTCGAGTCTCGTCTCATCTTTTATTCTATTGTTCCATTAATAAACATCGATCTTTTTTTGTTTGGTTTTTTCTTTGTCTCTACTCCGTACTGACGCAAAGCAGAGAGGGAGAGAGAGAGAGAGAGAAAGAGAGAGACCAGGGCCAGTCAGTCATTCTAGGCTGAGTCTGTGACAGCCCCGATACCGTACGCTGTACGACCCCGTCGCTGCAAGTGGTACAGTACCGGAACAGCTTGTTCGACTTACGCCATGGCCATGCCTCTGCCACCTACGCCCCCACCACAACTGACAAGAAAACTGGGTCCAACCCAACAGTCAAGCCCTGAACTCCTCCTTTGTCTCTTGATACAGGTCAAATAGAACAAAAGGAGCGTAGGAACATAGGGAGTTCTGAGAGATAAGTAAAACACCTAGAGATCTAAGAAATTAATAAAGCATTGTGCCCGTGGAGGGACGGTGACCAAAAGAAAATGAACGGGCCAAAATGAAAATAAAAAAAAGAGAGAACGTCGTGAAAAATACCTGAAGAACTTAATAATCCATCAATGGATCGGGAGCCGGAGCCGGAGCCGTCATGGTGTAAGCATTACAGTAGGTACATACATACCTGGTACCTGGGGGGAAAACCCGGTGATTGATTGCTGAGCCAATAATTCTAGAAAAGAAAGGCGAACAAAAAAACGGACTAAAATTCAAAATAGCATAACGCGAATGTGCCTTGCTTTTTGGATTACTTGGAATGGGAGGTGATAATGTAGTATTTCTTTGATTCTCGACAGTGAACGCCATCATCGTCACAGGATCAACATCAGGGAAACACTGGTTCAGCACGGCAGATCATCCGTCAAGAGCGACCAACCTCGACCTCTCTTTTTTGGCCCTCCTCTGCCATACCCGCGCGTGCGCACCCCCCACCGCTAGAAAGAAGGTGAAATGCAAGATGATGGACTTGCATAATAGCTTGCCTTGCTCTCGTGCATCAAAAACTTTGTATCTGTTGGGATGCAGAGGAGCTTTGGAAATGACTTTTTACGAAGGTTCAGAGAGCCACCACTCCATGTATGTACAGAGTAGGTATACCTGTACTCTTTTTCGTTCTCCATTTTTTTTTTTTTTTTTTGATTTTCTTACATATCACTCTTAGCCAATCCAGTAAATCAGAGTAATGCTTTCTTTTTTTTTTTCTCTCTTTACTACGATCTCCATGCATCTGTTCTGAAGTAGTGAGTACCTATCAAGAAATGAAATGACGATGGGGCCAAGATCCCCGTCACAGGTTACAGTCGGCTGGGATCTAACCGAAACAAATCAATGGCTGATCACGCCCTCTCAATGAACCATTGGACAGCAAGCTCTCCTGTGATTATTACTAAGGTTTACAATTCAGGAAGAATCGAAACTCTCTTCAGGCTTTCAAAGGGTAATTCTAAGGTTGCTAAAGTTTTCCCTTTAGATTAATTGGCTCATTTATCACCCTGCCCCCTTACAATCATTCCGGACGAGTAATGAAGGGATATTCAGACGGATAGTTTGAGTTAATAGCTATTCTTGTCCACCGTTGGTCATGAAGGTCCCTTCTCTCCGTGATTTAGGGACAGATGCAATAACTAACCGTAGATCCAATATTACAATCCAATTTAATTTAGCGGTTATTACGATCACCGAGTCGATTTCTATACATCAATTCATCTGGACATCTCGAGGTGTCTTTTAACTCCCTGTTATTGGGTGTTTTAGGTTTCCGGTCAATTTACAATCCATTAAGCAGGGACCGAGAAACCCTGTAGGGTAAGTAGAGGTGGGGGGAGGAATGGACACTAACACCCGACTAAGCACCGAATAAGCAGTGAGGAGAAACCAGAAAATTGATATTTATTTGAATTGACGGGATACCTTGAGGGGTTGACATGTGTACATACATGCAATATCATCACCCTCCCAAGGTAGATAGGTATGTATGGATGGATGGATGGACTTGAATGAATCAGGGAGGCGAACCTTGGGCACTATGTATGACCATGTGCTAGAAGGCGACTGCCTCGGCGAACAACGCAGTCCAAGTCCTACGCTCAAACATGATTTCTCCAGTCAGCCCTCATGCATGATACAACATCCGTGTTACTTGATACCAGCCATCCACGTGTTCTGGAGAGGTTATATCTCGCCTCTATCAGATGTCCACAGCGAACAAATTAAACCAGGAAAGTCATAATTTCAACGCGTGGGGATATATGTCACGAATCTCGAGACGGCAGGGTCCTTGTATGAAAGGTACCTACAATTTGCCACTGACCTGTGAATCTGTCTCCCCGTGTTATGATTATTATAGGAAACGGGCTCTGCATGACTGCAGTAGTTTCGTCTTAGCCGTTCCCTAGTAGCACAGTTACCACCCCCTCCGGGCTACTCAGCAACCAGGTAGCCGGTTTTTCATGGTCGCGCGCAAGTTCAGAGTAACCACGTAAACCCTCAGCCGTGACGTAGAAAAGGGAGTGTGGTCTGGATAGATCATTAGATGGATACCGTAGTAGGAAGTTGGGTTTAGACCTCTCCCCTCAGTCTCAATTACAATCTATATTCAGGGTCGGAACATGGACGGCATGGATGCCACAGGCCACTTCGGGGCTATCAATCACGGGGGGTTGTTACGCCTTGTCACTCTGCAGGACGCAACCCTGTGCAACTTGCTGGTCAACACTCAACAGCTGGAATGCTCCATGAATCATTGTTTGGACTGTAATAGGCATTATCTACCAGTTGGGAACCTACGCTGTCGGCTTGACCCCCGATGGCTGGCTGCTGGGCGGATTCATCATTGGTGGGCCTTCTCTCGATGCGAGGGGATCCGGCCGTATTGATTTTGTATTGGGGGGAGGAGGAGTTACAAATACCCGACCGAGTCAGTATTCATGTACATACAGTATTACTGTATTTGTGTCTGTATGTAGTATGTTTGAACTGTATGTATTGTACCTTCAATATGTACGTATGGACTACCGGAGTTTAGCAGATGGAGACTCAACTGCCAACACATCTAGGCATCACCTTCACTATGGAGTAAGTAATAGTATAATGGATAAGAATAACAATGAGAATGATAGAGAAAAATATATTTCTGTTCGAGAAAAGATTAAATTGATGTAATCACACAACAATAAAAAACCCCCCCATCTTTAAACCTATTCCAAACCTGCCAACATACGAGTCCTACTACCTAATCTGGACACCCACCGTATTACCCGACCTACGCAAAGAACGCCCCTAACCCCCTTGGGGAGGAGGAGGTGGTGGTGAAACTAGAACGAAGAATAGTTACGAGCTGAAACGTGCCGAACCCATTTTCATCTTGGACCAAAATAAAAAAGAACCCCCAATCCTTACTGCCTAAGGAATAGTTTGGCCGCCAGTCATCTGATCCTAGCGTAGCGCGGCTGTGTCGTTAATTCTCCTTCCTCCAGAAAACCGAGGGTGATCAATGAGGCGCATTCGAAAAACCAGAACTGAGGCTTGGAGGTTCATGAGTGCAGATCGCAGACCCGATATGCTGGCTGAGTTGATCGTATATTTAGAACCTTGCCAAACATGCGGCCATTAGCAAACCCTGTTCCTGGCAGACACTCCAGACAGCCCCCATTGAAGGAGAGGGAATCGACAGGGGGCTGTTTAAAAATAATAATAGTAGTAGTGATAATAATATAACAGAAAATAAATGTCCCTTTTCATTTATGATACTAGGTAACTACGGAGTACGTAGTGGGTTAGCAGACGATGGCATGGTCGGGTTACCTAGGTGAAGAGTAGGTTGGGTTTGGGTGAGACGGAGTATTAAATAGTTGCTTTACTAGTAAATACCTTTTTTTCTGCAAGTCCACTCCGAAATTCCCATTGTGGATGCCCGCTACTCTTTCAAAGAGTTGGCTCCACGTGAGAGCAACAAAACAATACAAGAATACCAGGTAAATAAGTACCAAGTATTTTAGAATAAGAGGAAAATAATCTCACTCACCTATTAATGGTGTCTTGGAAACCCCGATCATCACTAGCTATTTCGAGGTGTTCATTCTACTCACAACAAAGGAAAGAAGCTGACAAATTGAACTCCTTAGCTTCAAAGAAACCAAATGGGAGCATGGGGTGGACCTACGATCGTTCCCACGCCAACCAAGGGAATCGGTCATTTGAAAGACACACTGAGCAAGAAAATCGAGACCCTGACTCGGTTATGCTCTTGGGGCAAGCTTTACGGATAATGAGTTGGATATATATCATGTCGCATATAGACATCTTTATGCACCAACCCGGCTGAATACAATAGGTCGCAATGACCTCCATGGTTAAAGAGTAGTACTAACCCTCCCTCTCCTCTGTGCCGTCACTTTTGCTTCTGCATTTCCTTTTCTGTCTCTCGTCTCTCTTTTCTTTTTTTCCCCATTGTTTTTGACTTTAATCCCAAAGCTTGATATCATACAGGAAAGCCTCACAAGATGGCAAAAACACCTCACCGTGGGCTAATATTAATAACTGCCCTAGCTGATTTAGCGGGATTCATGGGTGTTGGATCAACAAATTGTCTCAGCCCCCCTGCTCTGTACAAAATTATAACTTCAAAATAGTACAACCACAGACCAAGTCTTCGAACGAAGACAGAGTGATACCATGAAAATATACCACAGCTCAACTAGCCCGCTCATGAATCGAGAACTGCTCATAGTATATGCCTGCAACACTTTACCTTCATGAAGCTAGTGTGCGACACAATAAGTAACACCTATCACGGTCAACATTGTCATTGCTCGTACTCAATTATCTTGAGTTAGATCAATAAGATCGGCCACCTCCTTATCCCCATCATCAATGAGGGTTGAACATTGATACCGCTTTGCGCAAGATCCAGGTTCTCCGCTCTCTAACCTCTCCCTCTTTGTAGGCTGCACGGGGTTGTCATTGTTGTTCGTCTCTTCTCGTTCGCCCCAAGGGCGCTTGAGATCAGCTATCACTTCATCATCTTCTCCGTGGACCTCGCGATAGTGCGCCGCCATCCCTTCCTTAGATTGGATAGGGTATCCTGGAGTGCCCACGGGACCACAGCCATCCAAAAGGCAAGTTATTACTGCCGGCCAGTTATCTGTCAGATCCGGGAGGTCTCTTGGATATGCTTGTTGGAAATAGGAGATTACTCTTTCCCGTAGCTTGCCGCGAGCTTCTTCTGAGAGATGCTTAGCCCAGTCTGCAAGTTGTAGGCAAGCTTCCGGCATGCTCCGTTATTCTTTCTCATCATGCGTCAATCTATCTGTGCCGACCTCTCTAAACATACAGGCAACATCGTTGGTGTAACATCTCCTACGGAATTCATGCTAATCGTTCAAGCGGTTAATAATGGAGTTCCTGAAGTCAGTCGCTCCCCAAAGGTGTATCTGATCAACCAACGAAAGAGCTCCCAAGCTTTTCGTGGAGTCACAACACGGCCGCTCCAGATTCTCTAAAAGATCTTTAATTTGAAAGGTCACGTCATCTCGTCAATGAAGCTAATGACTGGACCAAACTTACGTAAACAGGCTCGCTAAATCCATCATGTCCGGCATACTCTCTTTCGAGTCGGGGTCTTTTATACCCAACCAGGATATGCCAGTGGGCTCCAAAGGAGGTAAAGATGACGACTTGATTGTTGCTGCAGCCCCCTGCTTATTGATGCTTCCTGTCCTTGCTGCTAGCCTTTCCAGGCTGGCATGCAAGATTGTCTAACATATCAAGATATACTGCCCCCGCTGAACATCCCTGTCGGCGTGCTTCTTGGGCATCCCCGCTCCATCCTTTAGCTTCATAGACTGCGAAAGGAAACGCAAGATTCGCGTCACCCCAGCGTGGGTCAGAGATAAGGCCGCAATGTCGATGGAGTAGGCGTGCTTCAAGGCGGTCATGGTCTAAATTCCATTCTGCCAGAGGACTCTGGTAGTCTTTCGGGTTGAAAGTCGCAAGGCCAAAGGTTGCATCCGGAATCCTCTTGATAAACTTGGGCTCACCCACCAATAAGCAAGACACGGGATCTCTCTTCAACTTGATAGTGTTGTATTCGTGTTTATCTCTGGACTCATTTGATCCGTTAGATACAACCAGGGTTGAGGTACAAAGAACGGGTGACTCGCACTGCCAAAACTGGGGCATCTCTCATTTGACCGAAAATATGCGTCCAGGCGTCAGCTTCCCATGCATATTCGCTCTTCCGCCATCGTTCATTGCTGAGAATACGCTTAAGATGAGTTTTACTCTAGAGCGACGACTGGACTCGCTGGAATGATTCCAATCAATGCCATCAAGTGATGGTACCCAGAGATCATGACCAGCCGTAACCCACCCTTCAGAATACTAATGGCGGTAGTAGATACCTCGGCCATTCAAGCCCCAATCAGCACCGAACCATTCAATCATCCTGAGACTTGCAATATTGTTGGATATGAGATAGCTTTGTGGGGTTAGCGTCGCCACAAATCTCGGGAGTCCGCATGACAGTAGACTAAATAGGGTAGGTAGTAAAGGGGGGGTTGCACTGTAATACTGAGGACCAACATAGTATCTTTCCAAGGCTGATTCGATTTCATCTTCGGATCAACCATCCGTACGCATCATGTCGACTGAATCCCACAATGTAACGGACCACTGAAACTCAACTTCATCAAGCCTGTTCGCTACTCTGAGTTCCCTGAATGTTTTGATTGCTTTTTGCCGGTCCTCTTTGAAGGAGGCGCTGTATTCGCCCATGGTGACCCCTGCTGCAGGCTTTGTGTCGGGTACCTGGTCCGTTAACTCACTCTCCAACCTACTTGTGTCTGACATCCGTGGCCCATCCCGCGGATGTTCTGCAACCCGGGGTTTATTCCGCTCAGTTGGGCCCTTATCTCTCAGGCGAAGGATGACTTTGGTCTGTTTTTCAAGGTTTGGCTCTGTGGAGTTCTGAGATTGCTTATATGACAGAAAGCCCCTGGGTAGCTGCGTCGGAGCCCATCAATCTCCTACTACCTACGCGATCAAAGGATTTAGCCTTGCGTAGTTGTGTAGTCAATATATGGTGCAGTCCCCATCAAGAGTTTCATGTCGGCTCTACACTAAGATTCGACGGCTTTTGACTACTATCGATATCACAGTGATAACCTATAAGCTACATTTACTATTATCAGTTTAGGTTTCTTAAGGTATTAGTGGAGTAGTAGTAACATACACTATTTGATAGATTATAGAAACATCGCATGAGTTCAAGTAGAGAGTGTTTGGATATAGATGGTCAAGTGATTATATATTTAAATTTACTAACTATATGGCGCAGATAATACAAGGTTCAACTGGTCTTTGGCTGTGCGGTGGGCATATTGCTAAACTTTCCTCATATATGCATAGTTTGACACAAGTTTATATCAATTGCCCGGGTGGTCTAGTGGTATGATTCTCGCTTAGGGATATAACCCAAGCATATTTGCGAGAGGTCCCGCGTTCGATCCGCGGCTCGGGCCATATTTTTTCCTCTGGCAAGGAGAAACAGCTAGTCAGAGAGACGCAAGATACGGTAGAACAACCTCTTTCTTTGTTGTTGTATAAACTTTCATCTTAATTACTATACCGTACAAATTTCTTTATAAAGGAGTATAGGGAGTATAGAGTGCCCTTTTAGCAATTCATTCTTTTCATATATTATGTTGGTGAGGGCTTCCGTCTGGCCTTAGGGCCCAGGAATATGGGTTCTTCCGGGGCCGGTAAGCGGGGGCCCACAACGCCGAGGAATTGGGGGTAGCTAGCTGAGATAGCCAAGAATGAATCAAGCAGATGAAAAAAGCTCTCCTTTCCACTCACTAAGATATTATTACGTGTTTCGTTATTATTTATCAATAAACCTTATGTGTGCAGCAGCACCTTAACTATAAATATATATATATATATGCATGTTGCTTGTATCAATTCCCCATGAAAGTGCCTAAAGTTAACCCTGACAAGTACATGGCGGAGGCTCAACTGCTTGGTTACGACGAATGTGTAAAACATACTATTCGAAGTCCACAAGAGGCCTATCGTCACTACTTACCATGTCATCTTCAAGGGGTTGTAGGTGAAGTAGTTACCAAGTCCGGATACCTAGTAGCTAGATCTTAGAAGATTTCCGAAGAACATACATAGAAGACTTCAGATTAATGCTGAGTGAGACATGAAAAAGGAGGAAGAAATATACTTATCAATAAAAGAATAACGACGGCGGAGTGAAAGTCGCAGATAATAGACTCCAAGCTGAATTACGAGATCACCTTCTGACAAACCTTAGATCCTTCGACCCGATTTGCCCGACACTACTAGAGGGATGGGCGTGCACAGTAGCGGAATCACATGCCCTTTGATAACACTATCTACATCAATTCTACTAATTATCTAGAGTTCTTATACCATTTAGATCACCTACCTTACCCAAATAGGCATCGCAACGCATTCGGATGAACCATGAACCTACTCTACTCCGTAGGCAAATATAGACAGCCCGAACAATCTGAACTGATCATATGGGGTAAGTTGAGGCGGTAAGTGACGTCCCTCTTGAGTTCTAATCCAATAAAAACCCAGATCCTTTCGCGCAGCCTCGTCGTATACTTACTCAATAGCTTGCTTGCTTCGCTCAGCTCCGCAAAGATGGATGATAGTAAAGTGAGATATTCCCATAGGGGTAAAAAGGATAGGGGAAGAGGAAAAAACAACGGCCCGAGCCGCGGATCGAACGCGGGACCTCTCGCAGATATGCTTGGGTTGTGACCCTAAGCGAGAATCATACCACTAGACCACCCGGGCGAATATAAATTATTCCAATAATTTATGGTTAAATGAGAGTTTACACATATACCGGCCATTTTTCGATCTGCACGCTGATGTTACATTCATTCATCATCTCCTGCACAAAAAGAAAGATACCACCACTAATCTAACTTTGAAGTAGATATAGAATACACAAAAACACGGCCCGAGCCGCGGATCGAACGCGGGACCTCTCGCAAATATGCTTGGGTTATATCCCTAAGCGAGAATCATACCACTAGACCACCCGGGCAGTTGATGTCCGAGACTGTTGCCGAAAAGCCTTACCCCCAATGATGAAGATAAACTGCGTAAACATATCTTCCTGGGGAATCTTGCAGTGGTCCTTACTCCCTACGGCAATGTTGACCTTGTCAAAGGCAGCATTCCACCTTCGAACGTCTCAGGCTTATTTCCAGGTTTGAATATCACTTAGGTCCATATATTCCACACGAGGACTTCCGACTGCTGTGTTCATGATAGTGTGGCTGTAGTCGAGTTCTAGCTTCTCAAGCAGTACTATAGCAGTGGCACTTGATGGAAATTGTTGAAAACCACATGGCTAACAACCTGCGCATTTACCCACGTGTCAGCTTCTTTATTTAGGTGCTCGACGCACTCCTGACTGGGGTTAACTTCCGCAGTGCTAATTGCCTGTAGCGTCATCGCAATTTCAGCGTTGGACGGTGTGCGGTTGCCGGAAGTAGCGACCCTGTTTCTTACCCAGCAGCTCTTGATCCTACTGTTTATTTCACACTGTCAACTTGCTATTAATCAATGGCGAGTCTTCACCAGGTAAGATTGTTCAATAGCTTGAGTCAGCAGTGCTGGTAAGGTATCTCGGCTTCTTTGTTGCGCAGCGGAGCGAAGCGTAGCAAGCATCATACATATTGGTCATTTATGCGTCCTTACAGAATCTCCATTGCCGCTCTGGACTCTTATTGCCTCCCATGGACTGTATCATGTAAATCACGAAAGAGGACGAAAAACGCCGAGGATACGCAAATAAATACGAAAGATTCGAATCTGTATCTATGAGTCCTATATATCAAAACTATGGGTGGCAAGGTTTGTGTTATGCTCACGAAGTTTTATTATGCCGCTTCAAGGAGAATGTTGAAATCTGTGTCATCGCGCCATCAATAACGATATGGTTACCAAGGGCGGGTATGTATCAAGGTCAACCCAGCTTTAACAGCCCGCTGCCACATTAAGTTGTATGTGTTACAGGCAACTAATCTTGACTTCCACCTGAAAAAAGTCAAGAAACTGTGCCTTGCTTTCGAAGGTGATATATCCTTGTGGAGAGAAGATACAGGAAAGTTAAGAGGCTTTTGTCAACGGTTAAGTTGATAAACATTGAGTACCTGAGCTTATAACAAAGACTACAAACCAAGAATGTGCCCAGGCGGTATTCGGAGACCCAGCCCACGGGAATCTTCCCTTATATATGCATAAGCTCAATAAAATCATTATATAATTGCCCGGGTGGTCTAGTGGTATGATTCTCGCTTAGGGATATAACCCAAGCATATCTGCGAGAGGTCCCGCGTTCGATCCGCGGCTCGGGCCGTATTTTTGTTTTGTCTAACCCTTTTATTTAACTGCAAAGTTAGATTTGAGTGGTATCTTTCTTCCATTTGTTTTTCACACTTATGAGCCAACACTATAGAGTAGTAGGGAGTATTCTCGTGATTAACCACTACGCACTATCAGGCAAAAAGACTAGTGTTTCAAGTTTCCAGATCTGAACTGCTCTTACTTTATAATCTAACCTGTCACATAGTCCATATATATATCTGTTGTTATGGTATATGAACGCTCTATGACCCATGTACTTACTATATAATAATATCTATATGTTGATATCCTAATATACTCACTTTCCGTCCTTTATTCTCTGGAGTTTCCCCCCACTCTCTCTCTATTTAAGTTTGATTCCCGTAAGCACGTCTTTTTCAATGGGATAGATACCCTCGCAGATATTGGCCCCTATGGATCGCTCCTCGAAGGTGTACTGACTGGACCCTAGAACCTCCAGTCTCCCGTGCCAGTTTCGCGTCCTGTCCAGCGTAAGAAGTTCTCGACATCAGCTGCGACTAACACATTTTATCTTGCTAATATCTCTTCCTCTCAGTATGCCATGGAGTTTATGACATCAAATTTAGGTGATAATTAGGAATGCGCACCCTTAAGATTGCGCCACCTCTACTCCGTATGGCAGAACTACTACCACCACCCAGTGACTTCAAACCTAGTACTATAATATATATAGTACCAGAAGAACAAAAAAAGCATGGCCCGAGCCGCGGATCGAACGCGGGACCTCTCGCAGATATGCTTGGGTTATATCCCTAAGCGAGAATCATACCACTAGACCACCCGGGCAATTATGAGTAATTCGCCGAGCTTCTGCATATATAGAAAAACACCTAACACCAGCCCAATTTTCCATGCACATGCTTATGTTACATCTCTTGCACAGTGCCTAACGAAACCCCTTTAGTTACATAGAAAGTGAACCCCTTCCATATGCACAAGATGGCTCATCTGTAAGTCTATCCAGCACCTTTGTAATACTGCTCCTGAATTTCACTTTTTTAACACCTATGGCTGGAGCTCAGACTGATATATTATTTAGAGAGATTTTATGTGGGATAGCTGCTAGTCTTTTCAAGTTACTAGCTGTAGGAAAAGAATATTTCGGTATTCTTCCCGTCTACTACTTTTAGCTCTATAAGGAAGCTGCTCTGTTTTACGTATCATTCTCTGCTGTATAGCGGAAGCTGTCTATATCATTCCTCATAGGTGTTCTTGAATTTGGCTTAGCTTTTTATATGGTCACTTGATATTTCTATAATTTACACAGTAGAATCATGACTCTATTATCTAGGCATAAATAGGACCCATATGCTCTCGAACCCTGGCCAACACTTTAACATGCTTCCTCACCACTGCTTCCTTCATGAATCATGCATACCAAAAGGCCCGGCTCTGCACCTTTCTAGTGACATAGCATTTAGTCTTGTGGTGTGCCTAGTATATGATAACCTTTTGAGAAGATCTGGCTTTTTATTAAGCTGCCTTGTATCAGATACCCGGATCCCTATGAGTACTAGTATCTAACTGGTACTTTGATATTGGTAGATCGATCAAATCTAACTTACCAAGATTCTGCTCCAATCGGGCCCTCCCAACGCCCGACAAGCCCAATGCTTAGGGCCGATCCTTTTCCGGGTTACAGTTCACATCACCCCCAGGCTGCTAGAGAGCGTAACTACTGTTCACACTACATTCATTCTGTGCTTCTTGCACAGGTCGAACTCTCCGGCAGGGATCAAGGTAAGTCCGTGTAGAAAGACCCCAAGGAAGGGATTTGGTCAATGTCGCTGGCCGGGTGGCTTAATCTCATCTCGGCTTTAACAATGGTTTCCTGTGGAAGTGTTCCTCGATACAAAGGAAAAAGCTCAGTGCATGAATGCATTGTCACAATAAAAAATCTCTGCCTTCTTGTCTGGTTCCCGAGATGTTTGCGGCTTTGTAAGTATGCAATAGGTGGTGGCATTCACTGCCTTGTGGTCGTGGCCATGGCGCTCGAGTGGGTGGGCACCATTAATATAAGTTGTTGCTTGTGTTGGATGGAGATGTTTCTCTTTCTTTCTCTTTTTACTATTTACTCGAGCTCGCTCATCCTACTGAAGTCAAAGACTATTGTATAAGTCCATTCTTATATGCGGTCCCTGTACCACCGTACACATAACATGATCACTGGTTCTCATATTGATAGTCTGTGACCGAGTCTTACTGCATGTCCGTCTCGGTGTGGTACTTCTCCTTCCTCTATATCAACAGAAACTCAGCATCTGACATGCCCTGTCTGACTTACAACTCTACGTCCCTTTATGCGCACATAGTGTATAAATCATCAAGAGAATTCGGACCATACTATAATGCTCGTAAGAATATGCTAAATTAAACATGTCGGATATCAATACAAAGGGCCACACCCCGGCAGATCTATGTATTTTTAGGATAAAGTTCAGCCTCAACACCTTTTCTCTAACCGGTCACCTTGAAGATAGACTCGGCAAGTCTCTTGACATTGTCAGAGGTGATACCGGCAACGGAGATACGACCATCCTTGGTGGCGTAGACGGAGTGCTAGAAAAAAAAAGACGTTAGCGCTCGGTGTCTTCGAAAGGCGACTGTACTGATGATTGCTACGTACCTCCTTGGCAAGAGCATCCATCTGCTCGGGCTTGAGACCAGTGTAGGCGAACATACCAATCTATGGCAAGGTGAGTTAGCGTCTGCCGATAGATTCATTCAGAGAGCTCCTTACCTGGCTGGTGATGTGGGACCAGTCGTGCTTGCTGCCTAGCTCCTCCAGGTTCTTCCTGAGCAGGGAGCGCATCTCAATGATGCGGTCGGCCATGCCCTTGACCTCTCCCAGCCACTGCTGGTTAAGCTCGGGGTCATTCATGATGGTGGAGGCAACACGGGCACCGTGGATAGGAGGGTTCGAGTAGAAGGGGCGGATGAGAATCTTAACCTGAGAGTCCACACGCTTCTTTTCCTCTGTGTTCTCGCAAACAAGGGAGAAAGCACCGACACGCTCACCATAGAGACCCTATATTTGATCAGCTACTAGCGGTTACTTCCCGGGACCTATATTCTTACCATGTTCTTGGCGAAACTCTGGCAGAGGGCAATGTTGTGGCCCTCGCTCACGAAATGCCTGGGGGCGAAAGCATCCTTGTCAGCATTGCCGCTGGCGAAGCCTTGGTAGGCCATATCGAAGAAGGCAAAGTGGCCCTTCTGCTTCATCACATCGCTGATCTGGCGCCACTGCTCCTGGGTTGGGTCGACACCGGTAGGGTTGTGGGCGCAAGCGTGGAGAAGGATGATGCTGTTCTCAGGGGCGGCCTTGATGTCGGCAATCAGACCCTCGAAGTCGAGACCAATGGTGTCCTTGTTGTAGTAACGGTACTTCTCAACCTCCAAGCCGGAGTCCTTGAAGACAGCGTTGTGGTTGGCCCAGCTAGGGTTAGGGAGGTAGATCTTCTTCGCGTGGGGATAGAAGCGCTGCAGGAAAGCACCACCGATTCTCAGAGCACCGGTACCAGAAATGGACTGGGTGATGACGAGGCGGTCCTCCTTAATGGCGGGGGAGTCCTTACCATAGGCCAGCTCTGCAGCGGCCTTGGTGAAGGAAGGGACACCGGTGATACCAGCGTACTCCTTGTCAAAGCGGGAGGCGACAACCTTGTCCTCTGCGGCGCGAACCGAGGGCAGAACGTACGGCTTGCCCTTGTCATCACCTGTTGATTCATAAATTCGAATAATGTCAGCCATCAAGTAGATAAAAAGCTCGCCATGAGGTGATTGGCCTGAGTCAACAAGCCGCGAAGGAATAATTGCTTACGGTAAGCGCCAACACCCAGGTTTATCTTCTCCTTGAACGAGTCGGCTTTGAAAGCCTCGGTGATACCAAGGATAGCATCCTACAAAGCATTGAGTCAATAAGGAGACCGCAATTGAGTATGCTAGTGCACCGTAGAGCTTACGGGAGGACCCTGAGGGACGTTGGACCAGGCCGAGGCATATCTGGCACCAACGACGACGGTGCGCAAGTTAGCGTCACGCGAAGCAGCCTTACGGCTGGCGACTCTGAGGGTGGACAGCATGGTTAATGGAAAGGGAAAAAGATATATAACTAAGAAATCAAATTCAATTGCAGATTAAGCTGCGGAGGTCCTTTAGATGGAAAAGGTTCCAAGGAGAGAAGAAAGAGATCGGACAAGGAGGCGAGCAGATAAATAATCGGAGATGCTGCGTGTGTGTTATTTTTCGACTCATGTGAACTAGGAAGATTCCGGGGAGCGGGAGACACCCATTCGGATTGGTCACTCTCTCCGCACTCACGGTTAAATTGATCATTCCAGCTTGTCAGCCCGAAGCGGGATTTTAGTCTACTTAATTTACTAGAGATGCATAAACAGTCCCGAAGTACACTACTACTAGTAGTAAAAGGAACCCTGTATTGATCTTTGTTCTTATTTTGAGAAGGAAAAAAAAAAAAAAAACATGGTTCATCTTTCGGCAAGCCGATCGCTGTACTTGTACGTATATCATACCATACCATACATTGTTCCTTCCACTCGGGATTAATGAATCTGATAACAGATCCGAGTAATACGTAGTAGTATGGTCTTTAGGCAAGAAGAATAGGTAAGGTACTAACTGAAAGTCCCTGGACGGTTTAAGCATGGCGCCACTGCATCGTTTCGGCGCTTTCGGCTTTCGGTGAGCTCTTTCAGAATTCTGGCCCACTGTGGCCTGAGGCCGCAGCCGTCGGGAGCGCCTCCCGATTCCTGATTCGGAAAATCCTTCCCCTCACGAAATGTTTGGGGTAAAATTGGAGTTGGCCTGAGGTGAACAACCTCTTTGTTTCTTTTTCTACGGAGACTGGAGTTCCCTATGTCAATAATCAAGTATATGTAGTGAAGTTCTAAGTATGAAGATAGTTGATGATTTTACCGTTTTCTCTTCCCAAGGTGGTTTCCTAGGGATGACGCATAGTTGTCTTAAGAGGACCTCCCGGAATCTGACAGCTCCGTAGCGGTTAATTTCCCCACACGCCAAGTCATCGATCGTCAATGAATAACAGTAATGAACAGCGTCAACAAGCTAACTGCTTACTGCTCTGGACTTTCTCTGACTCCCTGGACAGTTGAGCCCAGAAAAAAAAAGGATCTACTTTCGGCGATGAGCAGGTGACGGCCGTCGTAGATAGCTAAATGTTGCTTCTATTCTTGGTATACTATAGGCTGTACAGCGAAAACTAGAGATTAAACTGCATGGGCATCACAAAAAGAAAAGGGCGTAGAAGAAGGCGAATAGTGGCTGCAGCCACTTTATCCCAGCCGCACACCAGCCTGGCGATTCTTCCGGGCCGTCGCGCCCATGGCGTTATTCATACCAGTGTGCTGACTGCTGTCCAATGCGCTCATTGCCTCTCGTTTCTTTTCCTCCTCAATCTTCTTCAATCGCTTCTCCGTCTTCATCTTACCACTTCCCTTGCCGTGGAATTGGTGACTCAGATGCTTAAATGCCTCTTTCTGGTTCATCATACGGCCAAACTCATCCACGTACTTGAGTTGCACATCGGGCTTGTATTCCTTGTTAAAAACTTCCGCCATATAGCGAGCATCCTGTTGGTCACGTTGCTTGTTCTCCCACCGCGCGTACTCTTCCCTTTCACGAGCAGACATCTGGTTGAGCTTTCCGGAGGCTCGGTCACGCTCACGCTGCAGACGAGCACGTTTTTCAGCGTCAGTTTCGAGGCGATGTTTTTCTTGTAAGAAACGCTGCCGATCACGGATAAGAGAATTATGATCGGCAGCATCGGATGACTTGACCAAGCCACGCTGCTTGAGCATCGACAATGTAGCACCAAGACCTTGGTCCAATGTGGACTCCTCTTCCAAGCCGGTGCCACTGATCTGCTGGTTTGCTGTGGCTTCTTCGCTCTTGATGCGCGCTTTGAGGTCTTCCTCATCCTCAATATCATTGTATGAACGTTCCATATCCACGTCGCCGTCCTCCACAGGCTCGTCCTTGATACCAGGATCTTCAGACGAAGCACGTGGCTCCTCGGCCGGCGTTGTTGTCCGCCTTTCACGGCGTTCAGGGAGTGTAGGTTTTTGTAAGTTAGAGACAAACTCCGAAGTCTCATCTATGACCAGACCGGGTTCTTCGTTCTCACCCGAGCCTTCCACTTCCATTGGTGTTTGGGACGCTTCTTCTCTGAGTTGTCGTGCGATGTCCTCAGGACGTGTTTTCTGGCGTTTCTTGAAAGCAGCACGCCTCTGACGGGTAAGAGAGGCTTGCAGATCGTCGTCATCCACAAACGAGACATCCTCGCTAACGGACTTGCGGGGGGCAGGAGCTGGTACTGACTCTCCGTTACTTGCGTCAACCTCCATGGAATTCCCATTTGGTGTACCCGTCGACTCAGCCGTGGGGAATAAATCATCCTCATCCATAACAGCACGTTGCTTTGTCGTCTTGGCCTTCTTTTTCTTGGGTTTCTTCACCTTGACTTCGCTCACATCCATATAGTCAGAAGTTGGAGTTTCCTCCGCAAAGTCAAGGCTGATAACATTCTTTTTCAACTTTTCAGAGACTTCTTGTCGCTTGGCCTCTCGTTCTTCAGCAGTCGACCCTTGAGCATCGAGTGTAAATCTCTTCCGCTTCTTGCCCTCGATTTCCTCATCGTACTGTGCGAGTATTCCAGTGTTTTCTTCCGTAGGATCGTAAACGGGTTTGCGTTTCTTCAGCTCGAGTTTCTCCGTAGTTCTTTCCTTCTCTTTAAGATCCAGATTTTCCAGCTCGTCCCCTTCCTCCTCGTTCTCATCGATCGTTGTATCCTTCAGCGTAAGAATATGATCCTCCCCGCCATCGAAATCTCCAACAGCATGCCCAACCTTGACACCAGCCAAATCTTCCGCCGTGTATTCAGCTGCACGAGCCCGCTCCTCCAGCTCTTCTGCAAGTTTGCGCGCGCGCTCTTTCTCGATCTTCTTCTGTCGTTTCTTCGTCTGCTGTAACCAAGTCTTCGTGTCCACGTCCGCATCGGCAGCTTCTCCTAGAGTCGCACCTTGAAGCTTCAAATTTCTTTGAGCCTCTTCGCGCGCCTTTCTGATTGCGGCGTTTCGCTCTTCCCGTTTCCGTTTCGCCTCGGCGTCATCCTGCATCTTCTTCCAGTTGGATGAGGCCAGCGCCTCGCGGGATTCAAGTGTACTTCCCGGCTCGTCATCTTCAGAAGACGAGCTCGAACCGTCGTGTTCGGATTCCTTGAAAGTAGGACCAGAGGTGGCGTCCGCACCGGGGACGGGGAGCGGTTTTAAACCCAGCGCCACTCGGATTTTGTTATTCTGCTCGATGGAAAGTGCGTCGGCCATATTGGCGACTGGTGAGCGCTATCAAAGAAGAAGAAAGAAAAAAAAAACACACTAGATAAGAAAGACACAAGGGAAAAGCGGCGATGGAAGGGTGTGTGGTCTGTAAAACCGATAGAGACTATGCGCCCGATTACCATCGATAGATTACAAGAGGTGAGGTCCAGATGGGGCTTACCTAACTGGAACTCGTCTCGGTAAGGTTTAGCGCGGCAAACCTGTTAGCGCAGGCTTTAGCGCGAAAGATAAAAGGCGGCAGCGGCTGGAGCTCAAAAAATTTTCCTTTCTCCTTCTTTTTTCCGAACACACACGGATCTGTGTCCAGCGATCCTGAGCGTGGAGGCTTGTTCTCTGCGTCTCGGTTGATTGCTGGACAGTTCGACGACTTAAGGAGCCATCATATTTATGGATGGTCGATTATTTCCGGTCGACAGATCTCAGATTAAAGGTCGACATTGGGTGTTCGCTCTGGTCTTGAGCTCCCTTCCCTTCGGAGTTGGTGAGCTCGGCTGGAGAGCCTGGTGCTCGGCGGCGTCATATTCCTACTCCCTTCACCGATTTGGCCGTTGGCCCATGAGGTTAGGGAAAAACCATGGCCAGCCAACATACTTTTTCCTTGCTACGTAAATTTTGCTGCAGTTGTGTATACTAGATAGGTGTGATTGGGAGACTGTCTTTGCAGTGTAACATATCGATTGAGCAGATATCTCGTAAAGGTCTCAGAGAGCGTGCTTCGTATGATGCACAATCAGGCGTAGTGAGGTTGATTCTAAACCTCACTGTCCTATATGCGTTGGAGTAACTACAAATACTCGGGCTATCATTCAACGTTGGAAGTACGGTTACAACAATTTCAAGTGTCCCGTCACGCCGTCGACCACACTCTTTGGTCCTAAAATTCCAAGCACAGTCCTGCTTCCACTGGCGATCTGTGTCCGGCCCGCATCTGTGATGACCCTGGCGCAGAGACCCAGGCTGATAGCCTGCGCCTGCAGGGTCTCCATTTCCTCCTCCGACTTGGTCTGTAGCGCGATCTTAGCCTGTCCCTGCGACTCCCAGCGGTGCAGCATAGACGAGTTCGGCGAGTGCACGGTGAGGTACTTGTAGCAGGCGAGAGTGGCATGGGAGCATTGAGCGGCGATTTTGCCTATCAACAATACATTAGCCGTCTCGTTCGAATGCACTATGCATCATAGAAAGATAAAAGGAGCGAAGTAACGACTCCATGTCGCGTAGGCCATTAAACAGTTGTAGAACCACAAACTCCGAAAAGAAAAGAGAGGGAAACGCCTACCCTTCGTCATGCCCAAATCGGTCCTCACAACCAGAACCAGCTTCACTTCTTCAGCACTTTTGTCGAAGTTGGCCAATTCGCTTCCATCGCCTTCGTCCTCACTGTCGGATTCTTCCTCTTCCGCCTCTTCGTCCGAGGAGTCTCGGTGCACTTTCACATTGTAGCTATTTGGCCACCCTTCTTTCTCTTTCGAAGAGAACAGGCCTAGCGAGGAGCCTTGTCCGATGAAGTAGCCGGTCACACCGGCGATGATGGCTGTAGCGACTACATATGCCGTTGTCGAGGGGGAAATGCGATCTAGGTCGGCCATTTTGGAAGGTGTGTGGAAGCTGGATGGATGGGTTTTCTGTGATCCGCACGGAATTAGACCCGGTTTGGTGGGTGCGGGTACCTCCAGTCAACAATGACCGCTTTTCTTTTAGTTTGTGCAGAATGAGGCTTACAAGGGTTTAATCTAAACTTTATTAGATACACGACTATGGTTCTATTTGTTTGTGGTTTTTTTTTTATTAATTATCTGTAAGAGGAGAACATGCGTGACTGAGAATAGGGAATGTGATCAAGGCCCAAAAGTGATCCAAGTTTTATCTCAGATACTGCTAGTTCATTATATACATCCCTGACCATAAACATCGAAGCAGACATCATCATCCTCATGAGCAGCGATGATTGTTTAGCGAGCAGCGGGGGCTCCCGTGTTTCCCATCCGGCGGCCCCTATGCCATATAGTCAGTAAAAGAAGATAGCGATCGATCGGATCAGTCAAACTCACATCATGGTCCGGCTGAAGAAGCTAATGAAGATCATGAACAGCCAGCTCGGGATTGCACTGAATGCATAGATAACATAACCTGCAGGGACCAAGAGTCCCCGCTCCGCAAGCCAGCTATCCGTGGCGTGGAAGGAGCCCTCGTACTCGCCCTTCTTCTCATAGGTCTTCTCAGAGTGAATCTTGTAAAGGGACTCGGCCGTTACAGTTGTCGCGTTGAAGTACACATTGTACTGAGCGGTGGCAGGGCGCTCCTCGCCGACCTGAGCAGGGACCTTGAAGTACGAAACGGACGGAGAACCAGCGGCCCAAGCAGAGCATAGGACCCTGTTCGATTCACAGTCCAGGTAACCAAGGTTAGGCGAGGTTGGATCAGCAGAGAACAGGAGAACGGATTCCTAAACGAGAAAGGTTAGTTAGACCCGCCTCTACGTCCATGCGCCTGTGACCCCCTATTTTAGGACCCTTACATTAAACGATTTCTCCGCTTGATGACAACGTCCAAAGCATGTCTTGTTTCCGCCGGTGATGAAGACAAACCAGTCCTTAGGCTCATCAGATGGCGCCAGAAGGGATTGCCAGTTGGACAGGTTGAAAGGGGTGACAGTCTTTTCTTGAATCTTCTGTTCGACCACCTTCTCAACAGGGGCGGGGATCACCGGAGTAGCCGTCGGCAGATAAGACTTGGCTTTGTTGAACCAACCCTGGACACGATCCGCGATGGGAACCTGCTCTTGCGCCGCAGCAAGCGCTGGGAGGATGGGGAGGAGCTGGATGAGACGCATGATGCTAGAGGCAACAATGACGCGTAGGTCAGCAACTAAGGGATCGATAGCTGACTAAAATGTTTTGATATAACGAACCTGGGTTGGCTCTTGACAAAACGAGCGCACTTTGGGAGGAAGATGAACGATTAGGGAGGCCAAAGTACGGACAGCAGGCAGCGAGGAAGACGGGCACCTGAGTTGTGGAAGAGTGAAACGGGCCACGATAGACATAAATGTAAAGTTGGTCTCTCCGCGGCAGGGCCTAATGGAGACTAAACTCGAAACGGAGCGAATCACGTTCCGTCGCGGGGGAAGGAGCCCACTTGAACTTCGAAGTTCCCGTACTTTGTTCTGCATGGACTACAATGGAACTTACCCAGAAACAAAACACAGAATATCATTGGCATTTTCCACCAACGTCTTTGTTATCAGTTTTTAAAACTGTTCTTCTGTAAAGGCAACCTTCCATAATCAGATATACTCTTACTAGATGACCAAATCAGGGAAAAAGAAATTAGGTATTATTTTTTATTAACTTCTGTTCTCATTTTCTCACGGTGAGAAACAAGTCTCACTACGTGTGAGGCTTCATATCAGCTCCGGCGCGTCGATCTTTCCTAGCCGCGGATCTGGTTCAAGACCAGTAAACTATAAGGGTGTCATAGAAAGAAACTTAATAGAATGTAGCGGGAGAGATATTGGTTTAGTATGGGGACATCGATGAAAGAAAGATATGCTTAGGGTAAAAAAAGAGGATAATTTTGGAAGGTGGTATAGAATATACAATGGTACCTTCTCTATCTCTATACTTCATGCCCCTGGTCCTCCTTCCTCAAGGGTCTTTACTCTTTCAAAGTATATTACTATAGTCTTCATATTGTGGCCATCATGCAGCACCCTTGACTCGCCACATGTCATTACTCAGGCATCACTTTACAGAGGATTTTTTATGTACGCATCTGTACTAATAGGAATGAGGTGGCCCCTCGTTCCGCTCCCCAACGTCATTGCACTAGCGGTCACGACAACTGCTCTCTATGGTTATTGCCTTGGCGCTGCGGGACAAGGAGCAGATGATCTCGTACCTAGCCCTGGTAAGCACTGTATTCTAAATCTGGAAATCTCGAGGAGAGTTTAATCAGCATTGCAGCAGTGGGTTGGATTGAAAAATCCAAGACAATTGCGCGCCTGCAGACAAATAATCCTTCTCTCGATTATTTCCTCGTCTGTACTGACCTCGATGGCCCCTTCGCACCATTCTGTCTCCCGCAGGATGGAGCCGATGTTGTAGTAGACGCCACCTACTATGTTACATGGAACGCCGACTTCTATCCCCTCAATGTTTCTATTACTATTGAAATGAGATACTCAAGTTCCACTGTTGGAGACTCGGCATTCACATCTGAGAAAACCGACAACAGCTACGGGTATCTTCCCCTCTATATGCGCAAGGAATGGCTCCAGGAGAAGGCGCAGAATGATTTGACACTGTACCTTATCGAACTGAACCCTGCGTCGGGCACACGGGCGAGTATTCGAAAAGGACCGATAATCACACTTCATCCTAAACCTGTAGAGCCTACAAGCCTTCTCCCCCCATGGCTTTCAACAAAACCGCCCTGTTTACTGGTCTCCCGCTAAGCCTCAGTGCCATTATCATTGTTGTAGCTGGTCTATTCTTTGGCATGCGGGAGAGCTGAAGGATTGGACTCGGGGCTATTATGGGATCCCGAGGTAAAGGGTACGAGGTTGGGAAATCCAAGAGTCAGCGCCTCCGCAAAAGTAGAAGCGAGTTCTATCATCCCAATGCCGCCTCAGCGTTGAGAAAATATACGGACGACACCGACTCAGGATTGTTAGAAGTGGCTGATGCTGACTCGTATAATGAGATTGAGCGCTCCGCAAGATTTGCATTTAAGCAGGATTCTACTATGAGGTTAAAGAGCCGGAGGAAATAATGATGGTTGTACCATTGGTCCGAATCACGTAGCATCCTAGTACAGGATATGTGCTTGACGGAAAGAGTTACAAATACATTAGGAGGCATAGGTCGTAATTATTTTTTGACTTTCGTCATTCTCTCGGCTGATAAAAGCGCATTGGACTACTATATAAATACAACCATGATCCACTAAGTAAGTATGTTATTTGCTTAAGGTATGAAAATTCTGGGTGGGTTATCCATTACTACGCCAGCGCCCGCGCTCTGAGACTGGAACTTTGTATCTAACGTTTGCCTAGGCGATCACGGGCGGTGTCGGAGGGCATGACGTTGACGAAACCGGTGAAGGTTGGTCAAAGTTACCCAGTTAATCACCTGTATGGGCTAGATTACAATGGTGGGTAAAAAGAGAAATACTGTGTTCTCAGTAGGCGATCGGGTCAATCAATATCAGAAGCCATATTAACTACTTCGTAACTGTAGCAGGTAAGCTGTGGTAGTTTGTTACTAGTGGAGTAGATATGTAAGCAGACCTAGCGAGTGCCTAGTTAGTGATAACTTACTAGTATATTGATTATCAATTGTGTGCTTTCTAGAACCTATTTTTCTTATTTTAATTTTTTTTTTTTTTTTTAAAAAAAAAAAAAAAAAAAAAAAAAACCTCGAGGGTAATGCCCTGCGTTCTACGGAGTACTAGTAGTAATCTTGGAGATTGTGAAGGTGCCCACAGTTAAGCGCCCCTCCCTCCTTACAACCAATGCCGATGTCGGTTGCCAGTATGAGATTCCTTGGGAGAAGCCACCCTCCTATGAACAGGGAGCATAACTACCTTGTAAAACCCAACGCACAGGTATTGATGGTAATATTACACGCGTACTTGTACATACTACTAAATTTTAGGAGAGGCAAAAATCTCTAATATTCTAAGAGAGTCAATTGGTGACAATTGGTGCAAATTGGTGCAAATTCGAACAGTGTCTTTGGTGGCAAAACTCTCTTCCTCGATGATCCTAACAAACGATATCAACGCTGAATAGTAATGCGTATTACTACTGCACTACGCTAAGCCACTTAGAGGTTGGGGAAGATCCTCAAAGATGAGCAATTGGGGCTTCCGCAAGCGCTCTGGACAAGGGATTCCCCACACAAAGTTGCTCGGCCTGTGAAATTTTCTTTCATTGCCGCAAATCTGTGAAGTGGACGGCCGAGTCATACCTCCGAAAAGAGCAGACCGCCCGCCTTTTAAATGGACTCCACCCACTTTTCCTACCTATGACTCTTTTCCTGCTTTCCTTTTTTTACCTCCCGGATATTTCATATAAACATTAGATCGTTTGGCCTGTGACTCATTGTGAGTGCTGCTATATATACCTACCTATACTTCGTCCAACTTGGTCTAACTTCAACCTCGTTTCAGCGTCTTTCTCTTCCATCCAACTTCTAGACTTTACCCCACCATCTATAGATATCGTCACAATGTGCCCCGGTGCAGACAACGAGCCCAATGGGCACACGACCCCTGCCAATGGCAATGGTATGCATGGAGAGCACTTCTTGTTGTTATACTTGGCTGACTTCTATTTGAAGGCGAACACCCCGGCTTCACTGGTATCGAGACTCGCCAGAACCCTCACCCCTCCGCCTCCCGGAATCCCTACGGCCACAACGTTGGCGTGACCGACTTCTTGAGTAATGTCTCCCGGTTTAAGATCATTGAGAGTACTCTCCGTGAGGGTGAACAGTTCGCCAATGCTTTCTTTGATACCGAAAAGAAGATTGAAATCGCCAAGGCTCTGGATGATTTCGGTGTCGACTACGTGAGTCATACGAAATGTGGTTCGCTCATTGAAGATCGTTTCCTAACATTCTACCTGTTATAGATCGAACTTACCAGCCCTTGTGCCTCTGAGCAGTCAAGACTTGACTGCGAGGCCATCTGCAAGCTCGGATTGAAGGCCAAGGTACGTTGGATTCTTGGATAGCTGTTCTCCCATATTTGAACGGCACTAATCCACTCCGTAGATTCTTACTCACATTCGATGCCACATGGACGATGCCCGTGTTGCCGTTGAGACTGGTGTTGACGGAGTGTAAGTCTGCCCAGATTTCCCTTAGAATCTCTCATTCTTATAATCTCTAGTGATGTCGTCATTGGTACTTCGTCCTACCTCCGTGAGCACTCCCACGGCAAGGATATGACCTACATTAAGAACACTGCTATTGAAGTTATCGAATACGTCAAGTCCAAGGGCATTGAGATTCGATTCTCTAGTGAGGACTCCTTCCGTTCTGACCTCGTCGACCTCTTGTCCATCTACTCCGCCGTTGACAAGGTTGGTGTGAACCGTGTGGGTATTGCCGATACCGTCGGCTGCGCTTCTCCTCGCCAGGTTTACGAGCTTGTTCGTGTCCTCAGGGGTGTTGTTGGCTGCGACATTGAGACCCACTTCCACAACGACACTGGCTGTGCCATTGCCAACGCTTACTGTGCCTTGGAGGCTGGTGCCACTCACATCGATACCTCCGTTCTCGGTATCGGTGAGCGTAACGGTATCACCCCTCTTGGTGGTCTCATGGCTCGTATGATGGTTGCCGACCCTGCCTACGTCAAGGGCAAGTACAAGCTGGAGAAGCTCAAGGACATTGAGGATCTTGTGGCCGAAGCGGTTGAGGTCAACATTCCTTTCAACAACTACATCACCGGTTTCTGTGCTTTCACCCACAAGGCTGGTATCCATGCTAAGGCCATCCTGAACAACCCCAGCACCTACGAGATCATCAACCCTGCCGACTTCGGCATGACCAGATACGTTCACTTCGCCTCTCGTCTGACTGGCTGGAACGCCATCAAGTCTCGTGCTCAGCAACTCAAGATTGAGATGACTGACAGCCAATACAAGGAGTGCACAGCTAAGATCAAGGCTCTTGCTGATATCCGTCCTATCGCCGTTGACGATGCCGACAGTATCATCCGTGCTTACTACCGCAACCTCAAGTCGGGTGAGAACAAGCCTCTCCTTGATCTGACTGCTGATGAGCAGGCTCAATTTGCTGCCAAGGAGAAGGAGCTTGCTGCTTCTGGTGTTGTGGCTTAAGCGATGCCCGCTTATCTTGGTTCAAATCTTTTCGCTTCCCTTTTTTTCTCTTTTTCCTTTTGTGTTTCTTATTTCCCCTTTGCATTTTGGAATTTTATCTTTGGATTAAAGGGCCCAGTGTTTTAGAACTTTCATATCTCAGCGGCTCCCGACGAAGATGCGATTTTTTTTTTCATGATTTGATGTTTATTTATGCGTCTCGGGCTTCATTGTTATCGGGTATTCAAAAGTCTTGTCCATGGATGTGAAAAAGGAAGGAGAGACTGGTGTTTGGAACGCGTTGGTCTGGAGGAGTTTGTATATAAGCAGACTTAAAGGACTGCATTTTTCCTCTGATAAACTCAACGCGGAAAATTATTTCGTCATTGATTGATTTATGTCTTATTGGCTGTTCGGGCTGGCTTACTAGCAATTTGTGTATGCAAAGTAGAAAAAACCTGGGGAACTACTAACCTCTGCGGGAAGGGGCGCCGATGCGACGCTGGAAAGATGTTGCATGTGCGGCACCAGCCGAGGCTGTGGTGGAATTATCGGCATTCTTAACGGCGGCTTCCTTCTACTAGTACTAGACCCATTTCCCTTGGAACGTCAGTTCCGACCCTTCGACAGCTCTCGTTATCTTTTATCTTTGGAGGTCATCTTACTTTCTTATCAGTCTTCGAGGCTGTTTTGAACATAAATATGGCGTCCTCGGTTCTTCCAGTCGCTTTACAAAATAAGCTGCTGGGATACAGCAGAGCTCGTAATGCGCAGTTGGTGGCGTTGAATTTCGATATGTAAGTGGAACATCACTCATTCCATTCCCCCCGCCCGCTGTCCCCCAACAGCTTCCTAGTAGGATGTCATCCGGACGCACGGTTTCTAAGCTTCCATCCTGGTCGTCGATGTCTCTAATGGCGGAACAGTCTTAAGAACATTGTATTTCTAGTTTTTATTTTTCGCTACGTTCGCAAGGCGTTCTATTCTTTACGCGGTTATGGTGTCCTCGGTAGCATCCGGAATGTCTACGCCGCGATCCGTCTCTTCTGCTACTCCATCTTCTTGCGCTTCCCCGGTGTCCGCGGTCAGGTCGACAAGCAGGTTTCGTCAGCAATTGAAAACTTGGAGACAAAGCTTGTTGCAACCGGCCCTGGCGTCACGAGATATTTGAATCTGCCTAAAGAAGGATGGACCCCCGAACAGATCCGCGCCGAGCTTGAGAAGCTGGCAAGTATGGAGCATACCCGGTGGGAAGATGGTCGTGTCAGCGGAGCTGTGTATCACGGTGGACAAGACCTTCTGAAGCTTCAGGCCGAAGCGTTTGGGCAGTTTGGAGTCGCCAATCCCATCCACCCGGATGTTTTCCCTGGCGTCCGGAAGATGGAAGCTGAAGTTGTGGCTATGGTAGGTTGGGTCTTCTTGTCAAATAATATGAATTTGATGACTCATGTGATCGAATTCAGGTACTCGCACTGTTCAATGCTCCGTCTGATGGCGCTGGTGTTACCACGGCCGGTGGCACTGAATCCATCCTCATGGCCTGTTTGGCAGCGCGGCAAAAGGCGTATGCTGAACGCAGGGTAACAGAGCCAGAAATGTGAGAATAAGCTACCTATGGTAAACTGGTCCGTACTGACAGTTGCAGGATCATTCCTGATACAGCTCATGCTGCTTTCTACAAGGCTTCCGAATACTTCGGAATCAAACTGCATCGCGTGCCCTGCCCAGCTCCGGAGTACAAAGTCGATATTCCTTCGGTGCGTCGTTTGATCAACCCGAACACTGTCCTGCTCGTTGGTTCCGCGCCAAACTTTCCTCATGGCATTGTTGATGATATTCCTGCCTTGTCCCGCCTTGCCACAGCATACAAAATCCCTCTGCATGTTGATTGCTGCTTGGGCTCCTTTGTGGTTGCATTCCTTAAGAAGGCCGGCTTCCCATCTCCATATGAAGAGGAGGGTGGATTTGATTTCCGCCTCCCTGGTGTGACCAGCATCAGTGTAGACACGCACAAGTACGGATTCGCGCCGAAGGGCAACTCCGTGTTGCTATACCGAAACCGGACCTACCGCAGCTATCAGTATTTCGTCTATCCTGATTGGTCCGGTGGCGTCTATGCATCTCCATCCGTGGCAGGATCTCGGCCAGGTGCTCTTATCGCGGGCTGCTGGGCCAGTCTGATGAGTGTTGGAGAATCTGGTTACATCAAGAGTTGCCTTGACATTGTTGGTGCAGCAAAGAAATTCGAGGCGTCTATTAGAGAGCACCCGCTCTTATCGAAGAACCTTGATGTTGTGGGAAAGCCCATGATCAGCGTTGTTGCTTTCCAGAGCAAAAACGGTGCCGTTGACATCTACGATATGGCCGATGCTTTGTCCGCCAAGGGCTGGCATCTCAACGCTCTCCAATCGCCTGCAGCAATTCATGTAGCGTTCACTATTCCTACAGCCTCTGCTATTGACAAACTCACTACTGACCTCATTGAGGTTGTCGAGAAGGAATTAGATAAGGCAGAGGAGAGGAAGCGTCAAGGAAAGTCGTATATCATCAAGCGTGGTGATACGGCTGCCTTGTATGGCGTTGCCGGCAGCATGCCTGATAAGAGTATTGTCAGTCGTCTGGCAGAAGGCTTCCTGGACACTCTGTATAAAGCCTAGATGGTTCTTATTGATTGCAAAAATGCATTGTTAATATTCTTTGAATGTGGATAGTCCTGATATGGCCTGGAAGAAACGCGTCTTCCTACGACGTAAATTGGGAATATGGCGTTTCTGGCGTTCAGACTGGGCTTCGCATTCACTACCGTAAATAAACCAGACAGTCTATCCATATTTCCATCTTTAAGCAATATCACATCGATATTTTCGAGATCACATAGGTTCCGAGTGTCCTAATATAACACAGTAGCAAAATATGTATAGTACAGTAAGTCGTGTCGAACAAAGACTGAAAATGTAAGAAATAAGACCGCTCCATGCAAGCAGATACAGAAAATGTTTCAACGCAAAAGGTTCCAACCAATTTCGGAACCGACTCTTCCAGCTTCACAGGCATCATAGTGCATTGACCATAGAAGCCAGCATCACTGTATCCCAGATGAGCCTTCCGTGCGAAGAGTGAAAATAAAGTAAAAGCGAAGTATCAATGTAGAATACCAACATCTATTGACTCCTCTTCGCCTTCCATTCAGCACCCGATGTCTGTTCGATGTAGTATCCTGGATCCGGCTTCCGCTCAAAATGGACTTCTTGTTTCGTTAACCGTCTATCGACCTCACGGACATCGACCAGCTCCTTGACTTTCATGATCTGACCGGCGACTGACGGAGACACGGGGTGGAACACAGTTGCCATGCGCTTCTTGAGGCCCAAGGCCTTGAGGACGTCTGTTGTTCTCCGGGGGAGACCGATGGCGGAGCGTACAAGGGTGACGCGGAAGTAGCTCATTTTGAAATGTTGTGTTTATATGAGGTTTGGATTGTCGGAGAGGTATGTTATAGGAATTCTTTTTTTCTTTTGGGGTCGTTTTTCTCAATTTCGCTGCTCGGTCTGGAGATGGATTTTTGGCGGAGGGTCCGTGGTTTCACGTCTGATTGTATGGCACAGATAACCAAGTTATCGCGACAAGCCTGGGACTGTGTTTCGGTTTCAGGATATGGGACAATCGCTCCAATACAGATAATTGTATATATATCAAACCATGACGGCGGGAATTTTGGCATTCCGATCCAGTCGGCCTGCGAGGCGGAGAGTCACGTGTATAGTATTCTGCCAGCGTCTTCCTGGCGGGCGGAGCGCACTTGACAATCTATTTGCTTGAATGAAACGCGGGGATGTGCCATTGGCTGCTATAAGTCATAGTGGCATGCATATGGCTGCTATCTTGCTGTGACTCTACGTACGTTTGAACGGAATCTAATTTGGGTTCAAAGCGCTGTGCGTTTAAGAGTGTATACTTGGCACATTATTGATTGCGGCGGCATCGATTATATTGCGACTAGGGGTTATTGCAGATATTCTTATGACGGTTTCTCTGTTGCTCTAATTGTCTGGTTGCACTACGGAATTACCGAGTTTAATGATCCTGTAGCAGACAGGACGCTTACCACTGGTATTTTATATCGATCTAGTACCTTACCTAGTGTATGATATCGTCGAAATGGCACGAGGTGGAGACTCGGAAGGAACGGTGGCTCTACCACGGCTAGAAGATATTCTGCGTCACCCTGAAGACCTGGACAAGATCGCCGGACTGAGAGCGGAATACTCGCGGAAGAAGGCAGCCGTCGATTCACAGCTCCGAGAAGGCCTCCGGGATCAATTGGGGACAGTACAACGCAGCATCAGCGCGTTAACCGAAGGCCAGCGCCAGGTTTCGAAGACGAAGGATGAGCTCCAGGGAATCGACAAACTATGTGCGGAGTCGCAATCCAGCGTCGAGGATTTCTCCCAGATTGATCGACTTGCCAAAGTGCAGAGGAACTTCGAGGCGGTCTTGACGATGAAGAAGGGACTGGAGAATTTTAGTGAGAATCTTGCTGAGGTTGAGAATCTTCTAAGAGAGGATGATGATGATCTCGAGAACCAGCCGAATTTGCTGCGAGCTCATATGCAGATCTCTAAATTGAGAGATTTCCGAGACGAGGCGATGGATCAGATACGAAAGGCCCAGGACCCGAGCAGCGAAGCCACGCTGGAGGATTACTTCCAGGGTCTGGATAGTGTTATTGACTGGTTTGATGATCATTTGGGAACTGCTTGTATGAATCTGATCCCCCTTGTGCAGTCTGATAACCCTAGCATGGTTGTCCGGCTAGCTGTTGTTGTCATGAACGAGGAAAAGAAAGATGAAACGGTTCGTGCTTTGCAGGAAGCGCAGAAGGACCACCAGGATCTGGCAGGCCGGTTCAAGTCGATGAATGTGGGCCCTAAAACGATTAGGGGCTATAAGGAAAAGTTTCTCCAAGCCATTGAATTCTACGCACAGGATCAGTTTGAGAATACTAAGGAGGAATTCCTCGGCGATCCAGATATCCTAGAGAAGAGTTTCCGATGGTTCTTCAATGATCTCTTCTCTGTTAAGCAGGGCATGCAGACATTGATGCCAAAGAAGTGGAAGATTTACAAGACATACACTGATATTTACCACCGGATGATGCATGACTTTTTCGTGGATCTGATCAATGACCCTGAGCTACCCCCAGATAATCTGCTTTCTATAATCCACTGGAGCGAGAAATACTATAAGAAGATGAACAAACTCGGGTGGAAACAGACAGACCTGCGACCAAACATTCTCGATGATCGTGAACCTGAGCTCATTCGACAATGGCAGAGCATTATCATCAAAGCGGTCGAAGAGTGGATGGAGAGGATCACAGAGACCGATAGGAATGGCCTGGTGGAGCGGGTTCCTGACTCTCTGGACACTAATGCAGAGGGCTACTTCCGCACCAAAACCCTTCCGGATATGTGGCGCATGATTCATGAACAAATCCAGGCAGCTACCGCCTCCTCTCGTACAGACCTGGTCGAAGGCATTATCGATGCTATGTTCCGAGTGCTCAAGGGACGTCAAACCGCTTGGCAATCGCTCATCGAAGAGGAGTGCGCCAAATATAAGGCGCCAGGCGGCGACCAGCTTGATGGATTGCAGCTGTTGCAGGATTGGCTTGTTGCGGTGGCCAACGACCAGATTGCTTGTATCGATGACAATGATGAATCAGGACAACTGGGCTACCTGTCGAGGTTCAAGCGCGATTTCGAGGCGCACGTCGACCCGAAATACATGGCGGCGCGAGCTATACCAGAGCTGGACGCCCTTCGCGACGGCTACGTGGACCTAAGTACCTATTGTCTTACTCAATTCGTCGAAGTAGTTTTTGCGGTCGACTTCCGCTCTACTATCCCCGATTTCTTCACTCAGAAGTGGTATGGCGACTTTGCCATCAAGCGCATCACTTCTACATTCGAAGACTACATGGCCGATTATTCCCCTGTCATTCACCCATCTCTAATCGACATATTAGTTGAGGAACTCTCCGACGAACTCTTGGTTCGGTATCTGTCGTCTGTGCGCAACCGCGGTGTCAAATTCCGGCGACACGCTGATCCATACACGGACAAGTTCAAGGACGACGTTCTAACCGTTTTCGCCTTCTTTCAAAACTATCCGGACTCATTTGCCAGTACCATCAAGCAGAAGTGGCGGCTCGTCGACTGGTTGGTTCGCCTGCTTGAATCAGAGAAGGGTCCTGCCGTTGTTGCAGTCTATGAGGACTTCAAAATGGAATACTGGGATCTGCAGCTGACGTGGGTTGAGGCAGTGCTTAGGACAAGGGATGACTTTGAGAGAAGCATGATCAGTGCTGTCAAGGCCAAAGCAGCAGAGTTGTCTGTGGAAAGAGGTATGGAGACTCTTATGAGCCGGATGAGGTAGTTGAATGGTATCTAGGAGACGAATGACATAGCTCTATTCAGCGTGGCGTTAGGAGTTCTTTCTAGTTATATGTCAGGGTCGGCTGTTGCTAAGATGTATTCTATAATATGAATCCAATGATTCCAGTCTATATGCTCGCTTTACTTCGGCTAGAAGAAAGCCTAATTATGTACTTGACTTTGGGTATATAACAGTCAACGAATATGCACACCAACCCCAACACTCCCATCACAACTGGCATCCATCTTACCGTCCCCGTCTCCCATAGACTGAAACTCCAAGCTCCTTTCCACTACAGGCAAGTATTTCTCCCGCAAACGTGCGTTCATTCCATCCTCATCGGCCTCTGGGTCAAGTTTCTTCGCACCCATCTCACAAATACACACTGTTTCAAGGGGGAAGTTCTTCGCCCACACAAAGGGATATCGGTGTTTGGCGCCGGTGGCATCGTTAGACACTCTCCTGTTGTTCGGTGACTTGTCTCCTTCACGCTCCGAATGGCTGGTCTCATTCTCTGAAAGATCCTCCTCGTTCAGCTGATCTTGCTCACTACTACCCCCGCTAGTTATAACCACAGTAGTTCGAGGAGTCGTTCTATCGCCGTCAACATAATAATTTCGATAATGGGACAAAAACTCCCGTGCGTCGAAAGTGTATTGGTTTTTGCGATTTTGACCCTTCTGCGGCCCTCCCCCCCGTGCTCTCCCACGGACATAAATTGTATTTGCGACCGTAGCGTGCAGCAGAAGCGGTCTGATCTTCGGTTTTGAAACCGTAAATTCCTTCGATACAGGCTGAGTGCTTATCGGCTTGTCTGACGTTCGTGCGGTTTCTTCCGCAACATTGGCTGGCATTTCCTCAAGGAGGGAGGGCTCTTCAATCGCCGCCTCTTCTGTAGACTTATCGTTCGTCTGCTTGCTATCTTTCTCTTTTCTCTGGTCACCGAGCAAAAATCCAGCTTCCAGGAATTTGTCCCGCAGCAGTTCACAGAAAGGATACAAGCGAGCAGTAGGATCGACTGGCGCCGCATGTAGGACCGTCGCGGCGCGCGCGCGAGGAAGCGCATGCAAAGATTCAAGAGAAATGATGAACGGGCTCGGGGGACTTTCACCATGTGATTTGGCAAGGTCCCCGGCGCTCGACGAAGATGACTGGTCTGCCGCTGGAACTAGATGTGCATTTATCTTCCTCCCTTGTGCGCGTGCGCTTGCGATTTTCTCGGCCTCACGCACCATGGTGACTAGGTTTAGCGATTGAAAGAACTCGATAGCCTCGCTTAGACGATCCTTTGTTGGGAGACTCATGACACCCAGAGTCAGGTGCAGAGTACCGACGGGACGGAGCGCACCATCTGGGATGAGTGGCTGCTCTGGAGCTCCATATCGAAGTGCCCGGCGAGGGATCGAAGCTTTGAATGCTGCCAGTGAGGATTCCAGTTGGGGGAGGGATGTTGAGTTGACTAGAGGGAGGCAGAGAAAGTGGGTTAAGGGTGGTCTTTTCTCTTTCTTTTTTGCGCCGGACATGGCTGTCGTCCACTGTTTGGGGCGGTATGAGCGAAAGAAGATAAATGTTGATGGCCAGGATGTTGTGACTCTTGTGAGGGGCCTGCACGGCGGGAGGTATATCATTTATAGAGCACTTTAGATCGTCGGTTACCCCCAGTGGTTTGCTTGGCAAGGAATATGAAGCGTCGAGTAAGACGCTAAATATAAATATAGTCTATGTGATATATGTGGCGCTAGCAGGAACGAGTTGTTCTCATAATATGGTTGTAATTGGTGATTTAAATGGAATAGAATGCGGAGAAAGTCACGCCGAATGGAGTTAAGCTCCACATAAGCTATGATGCCATCCATTTCCTTTTACCTCCACTTTTCTCTGCTTTTGCACCTCCCAGCGTCCCTCTTCGATAACCTGTGATCAACTCTCTAGAAGACAGTCTCACTCAGTCAACGTCTCACGTATTCCATTATGCTCTCCCGTTTTCCTCGAGCTCTCCCAGCGGCCATCCGCCCGACCCTTCGCGTTGCCCGGATCTCAGCGCCAGTAGCTTCTCATTACCAACCCCAGTCGAGTCCGGCTTCTCGCTCATCTCATCGGGGCTTCCATTGCACTGCTGCAGCTCGTAAGGGCATTTTCCCAGGCTCGTCGGACCCTCCGGCCCCAAACCCGCAAAGCAACAATGTCGCGGGCGCCGCCAGCCACGTCACCGAGCCATCGCCATTGACAGACGCAGAATACCATGAATACGCGGAGCATTATCTCAATGTGCTCCAGAGCGAGATCGAGAAGGTCCAAGAGGAGGGTGCTGACATAGAGGCTGAGTACAGTGTGCGTTTTCCCCGTTGCTAATTTCTCTTCTAAGCTCTTGGATGGGCTTTAGCTCTGTCACTTTTCCATGTGGTTTACTTCCCGCTGAAAAATCAATTGGTATACGGCATGCTAATTACTGCCTTGCATATAGGCCGGAGTAATGAACATCATTCTTCCCAGTGTTGGCACCTATGTCCTGAACAAGCAACCCCCCAACAAGCAGATCTGGCTCAGCTCCCCTATCTCTGGTCCCAAGCGGTATGACTGGGTCGTAGAGGGAGACTACATGCACGAGAAACAGGATAGTAGGCCCTTTGCTAGTGGGCAATGGATTTATCTCCGGGATGGATCGAATCTGACGGACCTGTTGAACACCGAGTTGACCTTGAATATCCCGAGAGATGTCTACACTGAGGAACAGTGATCTGTTTGTTCTGGTTGCAGCGTATGCGACTTGGATATACGAAGATGTGCCTATGTTACCCGGGCCGCAAATACATGAAGTTGTGGTGGTTGTAGGGTATGAGGGCTCTCTTTAAGTGAATCTTGGTGAACTATACATTTCGGCATCGGGTATTACACCATATACTTGTTGCGCAGACATAATACAATATGCATATTTAAATTTCGTGGTGTACTACCGTTCCCAGATTAAGGATTGGGATCCCACTTCTCTGTATATTCCGAGCGCACAAGCGACCAATTCTAGAAGGCGATCATCGCCTAATAGTACCATGTCGTCACTATGATGCGGTCACTATTGTGTCTTCACTTGATGCCCACTAATGCGCCTCATCTCTCATGTTTCACCAGCACTAAGTCAAGAGATACGATGCCTCATCAAGAAAATTCCCCCAGCCGGGTTCGACGGCAGGCCCCTCACATCATGCATACGGCAAGACCCCACTAACACTTCAGTCTTCCGGCCAATGCGACCACCAGCTCGAGGGCGGGTATCCGACTGTATTGCGCTCGCGATGTCGCATAGCCCCCCGTAGCGAAGACTGAACGTCTATACTTTTCCTTCGAGTCCACAAGGGAGAAGACGAGAGGTTCCAGTATGTGTAGTGACGTATGACGGTATTAATTTATAGCCCCTATAGCTGTTTCCCTATTTCCATCTTGAATAGTTTAAGCCTGAACCGCAACGGCGCCGGGACCTTGCTGCTGATTGGCCTTGGGGAGGTCGTCCTTGATGATGTTAGTAAGAACCCCGGTGTATACACGATTATAAAAAGGAATAGATGAGAAACGTACAACGTCAAAAATAACCCGAATCATTAAGCTGCAGCTGGGGCAAACGGCGATTTCTTCTCCGTCGCGAAGATCATCGATCGCAATCTCGAATCGGTCGCCACACGGGCATGGGTAATGGTAGAGTTGGACGGCGGGGTCGAAGGTCATATCTTCGATTTCAATTTCGTCGTAGATAGAGAGGGTTTGATCGGCCATTTTTAGTGTAGTTTTTATTTTATTGAGAAAATACTTTGTGAATTTTGTGGGGGAGGGGGGTTAAAGATCAGTGTATAGAATCCACGAGTCTTATCGGCGGAAAACTTTTGGTGGGATGGTCAGGTGATTGTAGTGCGGGTGTTGTTTATTGGCTGGTTCAAGAAGGTTGCTTTGGTACTAGAAGGTACAGAATTGCACCATCTAATTGGAGGACATGTAATAAAGTAATGGTTGATTATGGACACGGTTATTAAGCACTGCAGTATAAGGCACGATGATGCGTTTGGGACAAGGGTATCTTAAGAGAAATCAATAGATCGAGAAACACCTACCCATTCATAACCTTTCAATCTCCGACCTCACATCTTCAATTTCTCGGATTAAATCCCCGTATTGTCGGGTAATATCCCTCATAGGCCCTGTTACTAACCGTCTTCTACTACCAGCTCTATCGTTCGCTCCCGAGTCATCCACCTCATATGCTTCTAGTTCCTCCAGGGCTGCCGCCTTTCTCTCCTCCAGCCGCTCGCGGGTGTCTTGAAGGTGCTGGCGGTATCGGCTGAGAGCAGCAATAGTCTCAGGCGTGTGTATCGTGGCACAAATATCCAGTTTCGTCACACTATTATGTCCAATTAATCTCGGCAGGCCTTCATAGAATCCTTGAACTTAGTGCAAGCCACTGGGGTCGGACATACCTCAACTTTCCTTCCATGTCCCGTGCTACTGTAGCTAGATGCTCTGCCTTCGCTTTGGTGGCTCGGGCGAGTGCCCCGTGTTTGGCGCGTTCCAGTAACACCACCGTACGCTCCAGCACTGCAGCCCGTGTCGCCAGGACTTCCCCCGCTGTCGCTGCCATCCGTGTACGGGCTGCCGGAAGTTCGGATAGTTGTTTATGGCGTAATTTGCGCAGCCGATCTTCAAGCTGTTGGGAGAGAGAAACGGGTGCCCTCATCATCGACTGACGAGCCCTAGTCCGGGGTCGAGATAACTCCGCGGACGGAGGATTCGAAGCGTCGCCCACATTGGCGATCAATCGAAGGTCACCTAGAGAAGAGGAAATGGCATTCGAGAAGGGCTTGATCAATGCGGGAAGATCGGAGTAGAATTTGTCAATGTCTGGAGCCAAGAGAGATAGCGCATCGGCTCCATCGCGATCGTCACCATCCAGGTTGAGCTGGTTGGATGACGAGTCCAAATACAAGCTGATAATTGCGATCGTGTCGCGGTACTAGTAGTAAGCCATGTAACCTTGTCAGTTATTACTGTTCTCCTTCGTGTAGGTTGCCTGTGGAGTCATGCTGACATCGTCCGATAAATCACTGTCAGGATCAAAGGCTAGCTGTCGCAGTGTTCGTTTCTTGATTTGCTTTTTTATATGACGAGTCCGACAGTTTTTAAGTTCCTAAGCAAAATGTCCTCTCGATTTAGCATTGTTGTGGTTCATTCCCCCGAGTGTGGAATTGTTTTAGATAGTTAAAGGACGTACTTCCAAGACGGCCTTTCTGGCAGGCTGCGCATCGTTGGCGCGTGTCGAGGCATCAGGGTTGAGCAAATTCGTTGTCAAATTCTGGTATAGCCTCTTAAATTGAGGATTATCCTCCAGTATAGCTGGGTCGCAAGGAGGTAACATAACCAGTTATAGCGTTCTAGATAAGTAGGTTGTGAAGCTGGAGATTAGATTAGGAATAACAATTAATTAAATCGGTGTGCAGCGTCACCGCCCGCCGATAAGTACTAGTAGTATAATGCTTGCTTCGCTCCGCTGCGCAATATTGAACCTTCAAGCATACCAAGGCTCAGTATCCAGCCTACAGGTGATTACTCGGAATGTGTATAAGAATACAAAGTCTCAGATTTTCGCTTCCGTTTTCACATTTCTTTCGTAATCATACATGCACTTGGTGCCATCACAACCCTCTCCTCAGAGAACTATCACTGCGCATCGACTTGCAACTGAAGCATTTCCGCCTTCACCAGAGAACAAGCGCAAAGCATGCTTAAGCAAGTCCAACCAATGTCAGCAGGAAGTGCCCTCGTGAAAGACGAGCAAAAGCATATCGTGCGTTCACCACAGGATTGTGGACCTTGCCACCAGATGCAGGCGAGCGAAAGTGGAGAGCTCAGACGCGACGTTCAACCCGATAGAAGTAAAGGGCTATGTACAAGAATACCAGGCGCCTGATAATAAAATCCAGGCCGTCTTCCAACGCAACAGTATCGCTAATAGTAGAAAGGAAAAGACAAACAAAAAAGGCTGGTGTGGTAACGCAGGTTAACAACCAAGATGGGGAACAACTAATTAGAATAATGGATAACGTAAAATGAAGAATGGGAATGCCCAGTGTGACTAGCATAGTAGATCAACAAGAGACGTGGAAGATTTCCGAAAAGTAAATATTCAGCTAGAATTGACCCAGCGAAGGTTTACTCCTCCTCGCTCTCTTCCGAGTCATCTTCCGAATCGTCGCTACTTTCGTTGGCTTCCACAGAAGGAACTGGATCAGGAGAACGGCCACCGCCCTGGAAGCGAGACAGGTTGCTCTCGAGCATGTTGATCTGAGCTTCCTGTTCAAACTTGCTCATGGGCTTGTTCTTTTTGGGTTTCGGGGCGGCAGCAGTATTCATAGCAGTGGGTGTCGCCACGTCTTCATCTTCCATAACTTGGGGCGCATTCTTCTTGACGAATCTGAGAAGCATCAATAATACATCGTTAGGTAGCTCATCGATATCAAGTTCAATCTCCGTCTCTTGGGTGCCCTAGACGCAAAAGTTAGGCTTCTTAGCTCATTGCAGTAAGTAGCTGTTGCGGAGATCGTACCTTGAGAGATGGAACATTGCTTTGGATGATCTTAAGCGCTTCCTGCATCTTCTTATCTGGAAGGCTACTAATCCCATTGGATATGATTTGCTTCTCCTGATACGTGACCCAGCGCTGCTTCTCGGGCTTCGATGGCTTTATGCTGCTCTTCTTGTCCTTCTTGGCCAGATTCATGGTTCCAGGCTTTTTGATATCCTTAGTGCTAGACTTGAGCTTCCCGGCCTTCTTCGATCCGGGTGGTGTCTTCTTTTTCTTCTTCTGGGCAATAGCTTCCACCTTACGTGTCATCTCAGCGATCTTCTGCTGTAGCCGTTGAAGTTCTTCGTCGTCGTCGCTTTCGTCCGCATCTTCGTCGCTTTCGTCAGATTCGGACTCGGACTTTCCGCTTTGGTGCTCAGGATGCGGTTCATGGGCCTCTAGGTAGCGTGTCTTCTGAGACCATTTAGAGTTGAATATCTCCTCAAACTTTTGTCCAGCAAGGTAGGTAGGGTCGCCAGGGATATTGAACTTGAAACAGTTTTTGAAAATTAGGCGCATGTCCAGTTCGAATTCTTTGGCGTTCTCGTATTGACCAGTTTTAAGTTTCGTCTGCATAGTCGAGAGATCCATCGGTTTCTTGATAATGCTGTGGTAGGTAGGAATATTCAAGGCCACAGGATCAACGGGCTGATAGAACGGGACTGCATAGTTAAAATGTTTTGGCTTGTGAAGCTCATCTAGAACCTCCTGGCAGAACTTCAATTCCCATTGATATTTCTTCTTCTTTGGCTTCGTTGAGTAGGGGAGATCGCGCTTCGGGGGATGGATGGACCGCTTAGGGCGTCCATCAGCATTGGTGGAATCGCGACGAATAACAGGAAGGCCTTCTGGTCCCAAAGCGAATGTTGTAGCCTGAGGGGAACCACCAGTTGGGCGTGGTGGAGCCTGGCCTATACTTGTTCGTGGTTCCCGTCGTGCCGCTGAGGTCTTAGGAGAAGACTTCTTCGATTTCCTTTCTTCGATATCATCAGGCCTAGGGCAATTAATCATCTGCTTTTCGAAAGTAGACTTGAGCTTCTGCCCTTCCTGCGCAACAATATGATCCGGGCCATTGAACGTCAACGAGTTTTGAACCATTAGGCTAAAATCATCAACGACAGCCTTGACCGACCTGTACTCATTATTTTTCAGACGCCTCTCAATGGTTCCAAGATCCATGGGCTGCCTGATAATCTGTGGATAATGAGGAATGTTCATCTTCTCTGGATCAACTGGCTCTCGATAAAAGCGTGAGTCATTCATACGCTTCAGGCTTTGGATCCCTTTAAGAAGGAACTTGTGCTGGACCCTAGTCATAGTCGCATCGCCATTTGTTGCCGCATCCGCACGTCGCTCAGCCACGGGGCCGGGGGTCCCGGGGGCTTTAAATCCAGTTGAGGTAGAACCCTCCCCTCCAATCTTGGTACGCTTCGCAGCAGGCTCATCTCTTGAATCTGGCTCGCGTTCCCTAGACAGCTTTGTGGGGGACACCGGAACATCTGGCGCATCTCGCATTTCCTGATCAACACTCTGCAGATGTGGTAACGAGGAAGCCTTAGTAGTTAAATCATTGTTCGAAGGACGTTCAGGCTTTGCACTAGCGGGAGGATGATGTGGAAGATCAGTCTTCGCGGCAGAGCCCTGAGCCTGGGCACTGCCGTCCACCTCTTTCGCTGGCTTTAAGCTTTCTGGCGTTGGCTGCGATTTTTGAGGGGTACCATTATCAGCACTAGTATTCCCACTAGAGTTGCCAAGGTTCTTCCCAGTTGTTTCCTTTTTTGTTTCGTCTATAGCTGAAGATTCCGTGGCCGGGTTTTTGCGTTCCTCGGGCGGAGCAGTCGGTGACTTCGGAGGGGATGTTGTATTGACTCCGTTTGTGGCAGTGGTCTCATGGCCATTCACTGAAGCAGGTTTGGTCGATTCGACTTTCTTCTCATTAACTGCCGCATCTGGCTTAGAATCAGTTACAAGACCCTGCATGCTGTGAAGAGGCAGTCAGTAATTAGTTCCATGTTTCCGAAAGTCGATTGGAGATATACATACTCTTTGCGACCAACATCGACAGAAGAGATGCCATTTGGCGACGGTGGCAGTTGAGGCTTCTCCTCCTTGAGCACAGGAGCAGCCTCCGGAGGCGGGGTCGCCATCGAGGTCGATGTTTAGATGTCCAGTTGTGGACCAGAATACAGTGTACTAACACGCAGCGATGTAGGCAGCAGCTGGTATCAGTTATCGAGAAAGCTTAAAGCGACAACAAAAATGCACTGAATAGGTATTCTCTGCGCTATCACAGACTAAATGGATCGATTCGTCAACCGTCGACTAAAACCCCCTGATTAAGTGACAAAAGACAGATGAAAACTGTTGCTCAGCAGTCACAACTGCTGCGACGCCGCGGTGTTAGAATATACAGGAAAGATGAGTATTAGCGCGGGTCGGAAGTGGAGAATGCGACAGGAAGCAGAGGAATTTATATTGCCAAGAGGCGGTACGCTGTAGAGGGTCACGTGGGCGGCAAGCCTGATTGACTAAGCGTGAGGCAATCTCGAGATAAAACGGAAGTGTAAAGAAGAATCAAAAGGGAGAAGTCGAAAAAGAATAGGCAAGTCAGGTGATCTTTAGAGGGATCGCACGTGCCAACTATATGCCTGAGGCCACAGTGATTAAATGAACCTCGTGGAGTCGCGATCGAGAGTGGAGGGTGATAGAAATACAGTTAATTTGGTTTGGGGGTTTGAGTTGTTGCTAATAATAATAATCAAGTGAAAGGGGAAATAATAATGACCATAATAAATAAAATAAAATAAAATATAAAGGGCAAGTGCAATAGCTGTGGCTGGGATTCTTATCTGGGAGCGCGACGCGACAACGCGTTAGACTGGGTTAAAAAGAAAATAAATGATGATAAATGCCCAGGGGGTGGTCACGGGTAACCTTGGACACGCAGGTTTAGGCGAGGCGGTAAGAAAAAAGGGTAAGGAAGGCGTGACCGGGCGCGCAGCTCAGCTCAGATCCAGAAACAGAGACTGAGAAAATCGGAGGGGGTGCTAGAATCCTTAAGTACGAACGACCGCGTCGCGGTCGTCCGTCCTCTGCCGCTAACTCCATCGGATACACTAGTCCTAATTCAATATTCAGCAGTTTTTGATTGGCTGATGGATGACGCGTTCTACGAGCCCACGGATACGATTGGGTTCTTCCAACTTTGGTGGATCCTCGTACCAGGAGTCCCTTTGTCGGAAACATCCTCGAAAAATATTGAGCTCTCCAAAAATAAAAATTAATAAAAATCAAGTCAGAGCTGCAAAAAAGACACATCAAGCTGACGAATAACTAATACTTGAAGAACACTGAAGGCCCTACAAGGCGTTTGGCTTGGATACATCGCACGAAACGCCATTCGCTAAATGTATCTTTTGTCATACCGTAAGTCAGATATGACATACCCAAAAATCTGTTAGGCATTCATGACTGGATGAAGGACTGCATCATGGATATGGTTGATGGCTGGTTTGCTACACACCGATCCAGAAAAAGTTGATCTGCTGACCCGAGAAAGCCCCAGGGTCAAGCCCTGAGCCCTTCCCTTGCATTGCATTAGGTCTAGCCTAATAATGCTGATATAATCACTATGGCTTATTAGTCATGCCAAGAGAGACATAGTAGTTAACTAAGGACATGAACAGAAACACCGAGGATATGATACCTGATCGCTTTGAGCTTTAAAGAACTGGTTCAGTCACGGTATGAATACGAGCTTAACTCGACTTTTTCCCTAGTAGTACATGTAGCGTAACAGTGGTGCCTGCCTGTATCCCCTTGTTCTGCTGGTCTCAGGACACTCCACATTGATCTTCGAATAATCATCAGTGTCGCGCTTTATCAGTCACCCCTGACTTATAGGTGGAGTGAAACACGACAAAGGGGATTTTCTTGCAGTTGAGTCTGGGTGGGCGGAGATGAGTCAAGAGTGTAGCAACTGACAACATATGACTCTGCGCGGAGAACATGCAACTGTGTGCCAGTTGTAGTCAAAATAAAAACTGCGCATATTTGCCTCCCAAGGCCCGAAGAATGCAACCTTTGAACCCAATGGTATTTCAGTCCTTTGGTAATATCGATCAATGGAAGAAGCAAGCTGTGCTTATCTTCAGAGCCTGATGTGAAGGCAAAGCTGTGAGTGAGTTCGAGAAGACATTCACAACCCGGGCAATATCTGGGTTAGTAGATTCGAACGACTAGCTCGATATTACCTAGTTTCTTAATCGTGAATGGGAGGAGGAAGCGTCACCAGCAAAAACAGAAAGCCTAGTCCGATTCGACATTCTGCGGGCACGTCTAAGACCAACGCATTGTTGAGAGGAAAGATTAGTTATAGGTCCTCTAAAGAGGTATGGAGAAGTAGTTAACTAGTAACTATGGAAAGAGGCGGGCGATTAGATAAGACGCCTGCAGCACTTATAAGGGCGCTTGGCCTGTTATGGTCTAGCGCCATCTATTGGCTCTACAGAACTTTTTTTTCCTTCTCAGCAACACCGCCCAAGAGACGGCGACAGTCTGCAGTTCAACAGACTCTCAACATCCAGGTGTCGCTCAAAGTCGAAGCGGGACTAGGCTTAATCCACTACCTGGTGTCTCTTCTGTGACATTGTTTGTTTCTTCTTTCACTTACAGATTTGGTCAAAATGGGCAAGAAGACATCTCGCCCGCCCGCCTCGAAAACCTCCTCCGCTGCGTCGCCCGCGATATCCGGCATGACATACACGGGGAGCAAATCTTCGATACTGAAGGCGTCATTTGCACCGTCTGAATATCAATTGGCGCTTTTCGCGTCTGTCATTCAGGGTCTTGGTGCTCAGCATTTGCGAATTCATGATACGAATACCGGCCGGTTACAATGCGAGCATGTCTTGGGTCCTAGGGAGACGGTCACCTCCCTAGATTGGGGATATTATCCAGGAAGGCAGAAGGATCGCGATCAGCAGTCGAAGAAGAAGAGAAAGCGACACTCCGACGTCAATGGTTCCGCCGGTGGGTTCGATCAGGGAGATGTTGTCGTCGCCTTCGGTACCAGTGCTTCAGATATCCGGATGTACTCGCCTACGGAGGACAAGATTGTCGGAACACTTGTTGGAGCTCATGATGAAGGGATTAAGGATTTCAAATTTACATTGAGCAAGCCCGCTCAAGAAGGTTGGAGTGTCGGTGGTGATAACAAACTTGTGCAATGGGATCTACGCACCGGGAAAAGCACAAAGTAAGCTCATATACCCTTATCGTGGGAGTTTTGAGACCTGTCTAACATCGCGTACTAGGATAATTAACTTGCCTTCATCCTCGGTGGTCACGAGTCTGGCGCGCCCGCTTCCCGCCAACCCACCTGTTATCTGCGCATCTCAAACACCATATATAATCGATATTGATAACAACGATGCGCCAATTGCGTTCCCCGCCATGCGCAATTCTATCCATACTCTTCTCACCTCCTCCACTGAGTCCGCCTCTACCGGGTTGTTCCTCGGCTCCGATAATGACCGTTATATCAACGTGTTTGACCCTGAGAGTCGGAAGCTCGTGATGAATCTGGTTACTGAAAAAGAAGTATCTTCGTTGTCATTGTACACCGGCTTCGGGAAGAAGACAGGTGACTCGTTGGAAAAGCAAGCACTGGCAGCTGTAACTGACGACGGCACAATTGAGCTCTTCATGAGGCCATTCGTTCAGCCAAATGACTTGCAGGGAGGTAAGGCTACCACGAGCTTGAAGGCGAGGGGAAGGCAGATGACCAGGAGAGCAGAGTGTTCCATTAAAATCACGCGCTCCGAGGGCTCCGATGCGCTCGTCCCGGTGGTAGCAGCATCGTTCCAGGGTCATGATCTAGTCATTGCATATGCTGAAGGAGGCGTCATCCCTATCTTTGAGCGTGTTTCTTGTTTCGATGAGGAAACCGACGAGTTGGCATTCACGGGCACGAAGAAGATTGTCAAGAGCAAGTCCAACTCGGTACTCTCATCAGTTACCACGAACGGTGCAAGGAAGACAGGTGAAAGCCAGGTCGATGAGTCCAAGGTGGTGGTACAGCAAGGAAATCTTGCAGATGATGATATTGAGATGCAAGACTCCAAACAAGACGTTGCCTCGGATAGCGATGAATATTCGGATGATGACGATAGAGAACACAAGCAGTCGGGTGAAGTGAAGGAAGCAGACAAACAGAAAGGTATCGACAGCGACGTAGAGATGGATAACGCGGGAGAGTCCGATCCTGAAGATGAGGAGGATGAGACTGGCGAACCCTCCTTTGGCGAGCTCATGCGGGCAAACGCAGCAGACATAGATGTTGAGGCTGAACTTGAGGATGATGTCCGCATCGGGTCTCTTGTTCCCGGGAAACCCAACAAAGCAGTCCAGCAGATTCCATCCGGTGTCTCCCTCTCCACTGTCCTTACACAGTCCCTTAGGACCAACGATAACGACATGCTTGAATCTTGTTTCCATACCGGTGACCTCTCGATCATCCGGACGACCATTCAACGCTTGGAGTCGTCCCTGGCAGCTACACTTCTCCAAAAGCTGGCCGAGCGTCTTTCTGCCCGGCCTGGTCGGTATGGGCATCTCCTCGTGTGGATTCAATGGACATGTGTCGCACATGGCGGAGCACTCGCCGGTCAGCCAGATCTTTTGAAGCGTATGGCCACGCTTTACAAGGTCATGGATCAGCGCTCATCAAGTCTATCCTCTTTGCTACTGCTTAAAGGTAAGCTTGATATGCTGGACGCGCAACTCGGCTTGAGGCAATCAATCCGCAGTGGAGCAGAAGGGATGGAGAGTGAAGATGAAGACAACGTCATCTACGTTGAGGGAGAGGAAGAGCTTGAGGAGGATAGTGATGCTGAGACTGGAAAGCACATGGCCACACCACGGACCAAGTTGATTCGCGATCAGACCTTCGACGAAGACGAATCCATGCTGAACGGCGTCCAGTCCGGCATTGATGAGTCAGAAGACGAGGAAGAGGGCAGTGAGGAAGATGATGATGAGAACGAAGATGTATTTGACGTTGAGGCGGAGGAGTCAGCCGGCTCTTCCGACGCTGAGGAGTCCCTAGAGGAGGACGAAGATGACGATGATGATGATGCCGAGAGTGCCGGTTCGATGGCCGATTTCATTGCCGACACAGAAGATGACTCCGAGGATGAGGCTCTTTCAGCTCCCCAGCCGCCACCAAAGAAGACCAAGCTGGGCAGTGGAGGGAAGGGGAAGAACAAGGCGAGAAAATAGATTAGATTTTTATACCCTGTTCTTCTGTGTTTGTTCCTGGAGTTCCGTGTACTACACCCAGACAAAAAAGTGCTCAAAAAGAGAAAAGATATTTTTTGAACCTGTTTCTTGTGCTCCGTTTTAGTGTATGGAGTCATTGTTCACTAGCATCTACGTTGACTTGCTACTACCATCTATTTACGTGTCTTCATACGTCTATCGTCCTGGTTTATGTTCCTAGTCTTGCTGACATGGGGGTGAACACGCACAAATCCGAGGTTCTCGGCCTTTAGATCTATCACCTTGTAGGTACTATTCCTTATTCAGAGACAAAACAAATATATACATGCTTTCCTCCGTGACTATCCATCGTACGGGCAGGCCCGAGACCCGAACAGTACAGCAAACGGCGGCAGGGCAGGGCAACCTCACTAAAAGGATGTTCCTTGGGGAGGGGGCTGTATTCTGGTGTATAATATCGATATGCTCCCTCTCGACCACTGCGCCAGCATTGGTAGCTGACATAGGGTCATACTGGAATTAATCCCACGCGCTAGCATTGGGGGATATATATATTTAAATCACAGTCAAGCATACCATACCATAAACCAAGAATAAACTATAAGATACCGCGCAGAGAAAAGCTACGGACAATACGGGCAGTATCAAAGCGAGTTGAACAGAGACATACGGAATTTTTTTTTTGGCAGTATATTGATACCATCTACCTTCTCTGATGATGTGCAGGCTGTTGTGGAAGTAGAAGTGGACGTAATTCTTTTTTGTAGGCTTATGTATGCAAATATTAAAAAGTTAAATATCAATTGTCAGTGTGGCCGAGTGGTTAAGGCGATAGACTAGAAATCTATTGGGTTCGCCCGCACAGGTTCAAATCCTGTCGCTGACGGTATCTTTTTACTTTTTGACAGTAGTCAAGAGATGTACTTGACTTAGTTATTTCCCGCCCCGGCCAATGCAAGCAGCAATCCAACAAACAAGGCCATGGCTCATGCGACTATAGCAACGCCACGTGATCAACATATTATCGAGTTCTTCGTGAACTGGCCATACATGTACATACATCTCCCGAAGTCGTTCGAGCACTATATAGCTTGGCCTGCGATCATTAACTGCTCATGTCAAAAAGGCCATATAGGACATGTTACCAAAGTTGAATGATGCACTCCCGTACAAATACACCACCAGTCCCTGACCTGCTTCACCATAGAATACTATACTTGTAGGTAGAAGTTACCGTTCCTTTGTAAACAAGACGGACAATAAGAGATATGCTAGTATTCGTAAAGAGCGTCCGCACTGAACAGCTCAATGAATCCAATTTAATTAGACACACACCTTAGAAATATGGTTGAGCCACTCTAAATAGAAATGAACTCGACTCTCGCGGTGATCACCTGAAAGGAAATGTATAGCCCAACAGAGGCTGTCTTGTAAATCAATAATGGACTGGAAATGCAGCTGCCCTTCTATAGATAAAGTTAGTTATATAAACTTCATCCAAGTCAGTGTGGCCGAGTGGTTAAGGCGACAGACTAGAAATCTGTTGGGTTCGCCCGCACAGGTTCAAATCCTGTCGCTGACGTTTCGTATACCTTTTTTTAGGTCCTATTCCATTTGCTAGTTTTATTTTCCCCTTCCTGGCCCCTATATATCACTTTACCACATGACGTAGTTACGCATGTTTTGCTATTATGGAATATTTGGGCGCCACTGCTGTTAGCGGGAGTCACCACACAGGACCTTTTTCTTGTATCTGCCCGTGTCCATGCAGAGTATGTCGACCTACTCAAATATTCCCGTTCTTAGACGAGAAATGCCACCTACTGGTTCACGCATATGCAGCGTATCCGGGAATAGGAAATGAACGTTACTTCCTCAGTGACCTACTGGCGACTATGCTCCCTGTCTTGCAGAATGCTGCATTCATTGCCATGACAAGTCTATCCCAATTCCCTTTAAGGATACATGCCTGACATAAAAACCTAACGCACTAGTAAGGATATGTTGCCAATAATTCGGGAAGCTCTGCATCCCGAAGCTCTAACGTCAACGAATGACTTCCTTTCCTGGGGCTTCCAAACCTTCAATACCCTCGAGGATCTCACTACCACCGTATGGCCCAGAAGCTGCTGCCTTTTGTTTTCTCCCACTGCTCCACACCTCATGAAACTTGACACTTTGGTCACTAGAAGCCACAATGATACATCCTTCTTCGACCGTGCGTGGACACCAGAGCCCTCCTTCTTTGGCCCTAGGCCGCACAACTGCCCGCCGATAATGTACACTTCCTCCCTTCCTGTTCGACCTATGTTGATTCACAAAACTCGATATAGAAGAGCCATCGTGATTGTCCAATTTATCAAGCACATAAGTAGGAGGCCTGCAAGGGTAGCTAACCGCACAAAGGGCTCGGCCGCAGTCAACATTTGACTCATTCTCTATACGATCCCAGCTACTGCCGTTAGGGCCCCAAGGGATCGCAGCGATCTGCTCACAGCTTGGCCAGGCGAAGACAGCAATTCGGAACGGATGCTCTGGCTGTGCAAAACCAAAGGTAGCGACAATCTCTCTCCTTGTCTTGCTCCAAATAAGGCTAGTCACCTGAGCATAAACGTTGATAGTAGCCAGACATGCGCCAGACGGCGTGTGGTAGAAGTGGATGGCGCGGTCATTAGAGCCCCCACCGGTGGCCAGAAGAGATGGCTGCCAGGGAGCGAATGCTATTGCTTTAACCGCCGCAGAGTGGACAAGCCGATGCTTCTGATAGTTTGGCGGCACCATGACCGTTCGGTCGCGATCTGAGATGAGCGATCCCACATGGCTGAGGAGAGCTGTTGATACAGGCGCGAATCCGGAACGGGAGGATGTAGGTAAACTGCGAGCGATGAAGTGTCTATGTAAGAGCTGTTGATGGGTGTTCTCCACGGATAAATTGAGACGACTCTGGCGTAGCGTATTCGAACACTTCGAGATTATGCCTAATTCTCCTGGGGGAATGATATCTTGCAGCTCGAATAACATACACGCATTATCATTGCCACCAGTAGCAAGAAACGTTCCGTCTGGAGACCAGGATATTCCACAAACCTGCTGTGTATGGGCCGATATCCTAGCAATCAGGGTCATGGAGCCTTGCCAGTCAAAGTCTTCTCGGATATCATCGTCAGGCCATTCAACTGAATAGTACCAGATATTACCCAGATTATCACCGACAGCCAAATCTTCTGTATCTACCTCGACGTGTTTGAATCTCTCTGATATTCTGCGCGAAGTCACATGCTTGAATGCAACACAAGTGATAGTAGAAGGATGATTGATTTCAAAACGTATCTCTGAATCAAACACACTCCAGAGGCTGAGTGTACCGGAATGTCTGCCAACAGCCAGAATGCCTTTCTCTCCACACTCCGAGGAGAAAGACAAAGAAGTTATGTAGTTCGACGGATGTTGATCAGCGAAAGGTGGGTACTGAACGCCGAAAGCTTCAGACCAAAGGTAAACATGGTGGCCAAGACCGACGGCAAGAATCCCAGAAGTGGTTGAATAGGCTAGTGTTGAGCAATAAAAATCATCGCGGAGGTTAGGTGCGTCTAGTATACGAAATGGTAGCGTTGGCACAATCCTTGCATTATCTCCCCTTGGTGTAGGCGTAGTACTCCCTAATTTTACCATGTGGAAAAGGGTTAGTTGGTTTCCAGGAGACCATGAGTGGCCGATAACCATGCAGCACCATTTGCAGTCAGAAATAAATAAATTGTACTTACAACTGTTCTTCTCTGCCTTTTTCCATGCATTATCTTTCCAGATCAACGGCGAGAATCGCTCGTAGAGGGGAGAGAATGGAGCTGGGGTGGACTCAAGTAGTGACCAGTCGTGATGGCTGTTGAGAAGGGCCCTCGCTGGGTCAATATCCAATGCAAGAGCTACCCTCGACTCGTACTTAGATTGTTCCTCGGTTGATTCTACAGATGGCAAGAAACTAGCATTGTACATAGGCGCAGCTGTTCTATTTGTCAAGGGTCTTTCAGAGCGGCTAGAAGTTGTCCTAGATCGCCTGCCTACGGCAGCAGATGCTCCACCAACATGCCAGACAGCGCCATTACTCACTTGTCTATGCCCGGCTTCTGGATTCAATGGGCTATCAATCCTCATGATAGCCGGAATATTGATAAAACGGGGTCCATAGTACCGTTGTAATGGACGCCCTGAGGGTATTCCGGGTGTGCTCTCAGACCGCCTTGGACGTGTAGGCATAAATGGATCTTCTTTCTGTGAACGATGGCGCAGAAACCTCTCCTCAGGGGATAGCTCCTGAGGGTTTTTGCCAATACGAAACAAGGTCGACAGTGGATTCATAAATTGCCTAACTGGTATGAACCTGTCCGGCGAGGCTGGAGATCTCGAAAGGCCACCATTTGTATTAGTTGTAGTACTCCTCCTAGCTTTATGCTGACCTCTGACAGGTGATAATGTTTGTTTGGCAACACTATCCGCCTCCACAGGTGGGTTTTTGGAGTTGCAGACAGTATGACGCCCTTTGCTTGCCACGGGCATAGGCAGGGGAATTGGGCGAGTATCTTTGTACTCTCCCGAAAAAGGCGAGCCAGTGCCTAGATTAGCTGCATAATGAGTGACAGGCCCTATGAGGGGCGGTGGAGTAATAGCACGGTCAACTGATAGATTAGAGTCGTCATCACTAGAGGTGTCTGAGCTGAGCTCAGGCGTTGACGGCCTGCTTTCCATGAGACGGTCCAACTTCTGCAATACATGGCATTGGGTGCCTATCATTGTTATAACGACGCCTAACTGTTGCAGTTGGCAGCCAGTAATAGACGAAATGATTGAATGCTGTGGTCAGCTCTGGAATGCTTCAAAGTCAAAAAGAATGGCGTTACGGGTCCAGATCATGGACACCTAGACCCTGGGTATAAAACTATTGTGCTGCAATGCAATAACATATCCTGATAAACAGTAGATCAGTTGGAAGCTGAAGGCAGGTGGACGGTGATCCGGTATAGATGAGGTAGTATAGTATGGCACGTGACATCCCGATAGAGAAAGCACTCCAAACGGAGTCGAGCAACCGTGACTTCCACTCCTTCGTTCTCCTTACTGGTAGACCTGAGAAAAACCATACCTTCCTGGTGGTGGCACGTTTCAACTAGTCAGGTGTTGCATAGATAGACAACAGGTCGACATGGCCAGCGTAATTTTTAACCTTCCCTCTGCATACCCCACACCTACTGATGGACGGTTCGGCAGCATGGGATACCCCGCTACAGCTTGAAGGAGAAATCCGAAGAAGCTCGTCAACAAGAGCTTCGCAAAATAGAAAAATACCAGGAGCTGGATCAGTTCGTCCGTGCGAAGGTATATCCGCTTTGCTCCTCAGAATACACACGGCGTTCTGATAGGTAGTCCAGATTGCAGAACAGCAGTATACGCCTGAAACACTTCAAAAAATTTCCGAATTGTTGACCAAAAATCCGGAGTACTACACGGTGTGGAATTATCGACGCCGGGTTCTGCGGCACGAATTCACACAAGCTGCATCACGCGAGGCTGCAGCGGATCAGATCACTGCCTTAATCAAGAATGACCTGCTGTTCCTGATGCCGCTACTGCGCAGCTTTCCCAAGTGCTACTGGATATGGAACTATCGTTTATGGCTTCTAGATGAAGCTAAACGTCTGCTGCCACTATCTATCTCCCGGAGAATCTGGGAAGAAGAGCTAGCGCTTGTGGGTAAAATGCTTCGCCTAGACAGCAGAAACTTCCATGGCTGGGGCTACCGCCGAGTTGTCGTGGACACGTTAGAGACTCTGACACCCGAAGAGAAGGGAGAGAGTATGGCGCAAGCAGAATTCGAGTATGCGAAGAAGATGATTGGGACGAATCTCTCTAACTTTTCCGCGTGGCATTATCGGACGAAGCTTATCCAGCGATTGCTGAATGAGAAATCAGCCACTGATGCGGAACGAAGAAAGATGCTCAATGACGGTACGTTTCACTGTCTTACATAAGAAATGATCGCTTTCTTCGCTAATGCAACTAAGAGCTGGAGCTTATCCATCGCGCCTTGTGTGACCCATATGACCAGTCACTATGGTTTTATCACCAAAACTTAATGTGCACATTTGACCCGGCAACATCGGGGCAGACAATGGCACCGAACCTCAGTCAGTCGGAGCGGCTGGACTATGTCCGCCAAGAGATCGAGGAGATTCAGGATATGCTGGACGGGGCGGAGGATTGTAAGTATATCTACCAGGCATTAATCGACTGTACCTTGTTGGCGTCGAAAATCGAAGGCACCATGTCCAGTGACGACCAACAAAAGGTTTTGAGCTGGATCTCGGAACTGAAGAAAATGGACCCACTTAGGCGTGGACGGTGGTTGGATTTTGAGCGATCACTCTGCACTTAAGGGGAGCACCTCCTTACTTCACTATTTCTGAATAAACAGGTCATAGAACGCTGAATGCGGAATTACCTTTTCCTCAAGGTCGACCCTCGAATTCCTATAGGTCGAATTGTTGGTGGTGGTTAGTAGTCCGTAGTTTAGTTTGTGCGTAGTCCTTAAGAGGTGTACGGAGCACTACTAGTACTGTAAGTGTATTTAGCTGGGCTGTGGGGACCAATAGGTTTTTTCTCATCCATGGGTGGGAGAAATTTCAGGGGGGTTTCAGGAATGTTTACATGTTCCAGGAGTCCAGAATTACACTTGATTAGTTAGTACTTACTAGTAGATGCTAAACTAGTAGTCGATATACAAAATATATACAGAGTACAACGTTTTAATTTGAACCGTATTTACATCCGGACGGGGCGATCATCGATATAGTGAAAAGGTAACAAAAAAGAAAGAAAGAAAGAACCATCGAATGATCGTAGTCAAATCACGGAAAACAATAGGGAAAAAGAAAGTACGCACTGATCAGACCCGCCAAGCTTTCACCAGCAACTCAACCAAAGTTACCAAAGATTGCATTGAGATGTCTGTCCTCCTCAAGGGGAAAAATAGATTTAATAAATAAAATAAAAAATAAAATAAAAATAAATCACAACGTCAAAAAAGTCATATACCCCGAACCTTAGTGTCTTGGTTTATTAGGTTATATTTTTATCCTTATTCCTTCGTAACCTCGAAATTCCTTCTGCCTTTTACCACCCCTTCAAGTGGTCCATTTCCACTGGTGGCTGTTGGGGCCCATTCCATATCCAACCCCTTCTCCATCAACTAAACAACTAAACCGAACCGCGTGGTGGCTTCCACTCTGTCTCACAACAACCTCCTTCCCCCTGCTTGCCATGGCCCTTTTCTTCTTCTGATCACCCTCTATACTTTGGTTTATATTCCAATACCGGCTGTCATCTTAGAATTTCCGATTGGACACCTTGAACAGACTTATTCAACTGCCCCAGGGGGCCGCGGTTCATCATGTCTAGACGGAATAGCAGAGACTATGAAGGAGTAAGATACTACCGGCGCCCCATGGTTTAAAAATCAACACCCATTGACTCTCTGACCAGGATACCTTCGACGATGCCCTAGAAGCTCCAACATCTCAAAACAATCTCACCGTGTCTATTCCCCAGAGTTCCTCTACCCGCTCCCTAACAGACAGTCCTCCGAGCGCTTCGGCTACCACACCTCAGTTAACCGATGCGCCCCCTCTACCAACCGCTACCCAGGACGAAGTGAAGACAAATGGAGAGACAACCGATGCTCATTCGGACACACGGTCGGAAGCGGAGGAAACGCCTCGCAAACAAAAATTACAGAAATCCCCACTGTTGACGGCTCACCGATTATCTACCACTTCCCTCGACGAGGTAAATCTCGCCAGCAACAACAAGGATGATGAGTCCTTCGAGAACCATGACTTAAGCCCAGGTCACAACCCTGGTTCCCCTCCACTCCCCCCTAGGGATTCGATGTCCGCTCAGAATCCTCGCCTGTCAGACCCTGCTCCTCCAGTGATCAAGAACACAGCCCCTGCCGCACCGCCGCCACCACCAGCTCGAAAACTCACGGGCCCATTTGCTTGGCTTACTCGGAGTTCGACGGGAAGTAAAGAGGCGAAATCACCCCCTCAGAATAGTCGCCGGAGCACGGCTGCATCTATATCCACGATCTCCAGTAATCCTGAATTGGCCGGCCGAGCACAGGATGGCGAGGATCAGGACGGTGCGAGCGCGGGATCCCGAAAGCCGGCTCGCAACAGCTTGAAGGATCAATTTAAAATGCTTAGGATGCGGGATGAAGGGCTAGTTTCGGAAAATGACGGAAGCAGTGTCGCGTCGGGACGCGCAAGCATTAGTCAATCCGCTGGAAGTCCGCCCCCCAGCATCCCAGAAGAAGGTGAAATAAATTCTGCAGCTATAATCGCAACCTCGCCGCCCAATGTGCCACCGACGGTGAACCCAAATCTCGCTCCGGGAACCGTCTCTGGTTTCTCGGCCTCTGCAACCGACGCAGCGGCACCTGTTGATTGGGAACTATGGCAGCAACTAGTCAATCGTGGTCCCCAGGCGCTGAAAGGCACGAACTCGGAAGAGTTGAACGCCGCCATCAAACGGGGAATCCCGCAGACCATTCGAGGGGTTATCTGGCAAGTCCTGGCTGACAGCAGAAACCCCGAACTTGAAGAAGTTTACCGGGAACTGGTTGCGCGTGGCACAGAAAAGGAAAAACCCCGAACTTTGAATGGCACGGCAAATGGAGAAAAAGAGTCCGCATCTTCGTCTCGATCATCCATTCGCTCCGAACATTCTGGGTCGGCAGCGCATTCGGTGAATGGGTCTCCTAGCCCTTCACACGAAGTGGACCCAGAAAAACTGACAAAAGAACAGGCTGCGAGCGAGGCGGCTCGGAAAAAGAAGGAGAAGGAAGACGGAGTGACCCTGCAGAAGCTGGAAAAGACTATTCGGCGGGATTTGGGTGCTCGCACGAGTTATTCCCGCTACTTTGTGTCGCAAGGGAACCAGGAAGGTCTGTTTGGTTTATGCAAAGCGTACGCTCTGTACGACGAGGCCGTGGGTTATGCACAGGGCATGAACTTCATTGTGATGCCACTGCTATTTAATGTAAGTGACCTGAATGCATACCTCAAGAACGGCCCCATGCTAACATACATTTCTTGTAGATGGATGAGGTTGAAGCCTTTACACTGCTGGTCAAGTTGATGAATCACTATGGTTTACGGGAGATGTTCATCCACGATATGCCTGGTCTGCACCGTAGCCTTTTCCTTTTCGAGCGCTTGCTCGAGGACATGGAACCTGCCTTATACTGCCACCTTCGCCGGCGAGGGGTACATCCGCAGTTGTATGCCACGCAGTGGTTCCTGACTCTTTTCGCATATCGCTTCCCCCTACAACTAGTTCTCCGCATCTACGATCTCATTCTTGATGAGGGACTGGAAAATACAATTCTTAAATTTGCGATCGCTATTATGCGCCGAAACTCGGAGGCGCTGTTGGGTATGAAAGACATGACTCCGCTGACTACCTTCCTTAAGGAGCGGTTATTCGATGTCTACATTGATAAACAACCCTCAGCGTCGTCGATCCTCGAGTCCGGGTTCTTTGGCAGCTCGGGGGCTGCCGACAAGGAAGTGTATCGCGCGGACCTCTTGGTCCAGGATGCCTGTGCTGTTCCTCTGGATCGCGAGACGATTCGTGCCTACACAGCGGAATGGGAAGAAAAAGTACGGAGTGAAAGAGAACGCGAACATGAGCTAGAGAACCTCAAACATACGGTCGCCACACAGAGTGCCCGCATCCGATTACTGGAAGAACAAGCTGAGGCGTCAGACAAAGAGCATGTTCAGCTTGCTTCTGAACTTGTCCATCTCAAAGTAGAAAATGAGGAGCTAACTGACCTGAATGACGCTTTGAATATGCAAGTGAAAAACCTGAAGATAGTAGTGGATAAACAGCCGGCAGAGGTCGAAGAGAAGCTCCAAACTGAGATGGATCGCATCATGAAGCGCAACATGGAGGTTCAGAACGAGAACCGGTCAATGGTGGAGCAAATGGCGGAAATGGAGAAAGAACTCGTGGAGGCGAAGATGAAGTGGGCAGAGGTAAGCCGCACCACATACTTGCCATTTATGAATTCATATCTAACGTCTGTTCGCTGCAGATCCATGAAAACCACGAAAATCTGAAACAAAAATGGAGCGATCTCCGCAAGGCTCTTGATTAAGGTCTACCCCTGCGTGGGCTTTTTTTTTTTTTTTTTTGTACATTTCCCCCGTCCAAATGTGAAGGGCCTCCTCACCTGGCTGGTTTCAACGGATTTTAATCTTCACATTCCTAGTCTTCGACTTGCGTGTACATTTTGACGGAGCGTTCTTGGTATTTGTCCGTTTCGAGGCCTTCTGACAAGGACAAATGCTTGTTGTATCACCATGTTTCCCTTCCAACGCAGCGCGAGCTCTCGGCAGCGTACCGAGATATTTTATGAGCAGGCATCTTATGAAGCGATTTTCATGTTATGAGTGACTTGGTCATTTCCAGACCACACCCGGTCTCGTCCTGTTTGATCCCTCTGATGCTTTCAGTGTCTGACTTAGTGTAGCGGATATTTTCTTGATCACCAGAATAAGAGATCCCAATGTATGCAGTATATGTCATGAACACATGTCAATCAAGGCTATGGGCTTGCAGATTTAGCCCCATCCAGCCTCGAACCAAAGAAAAGCGAAAAGAAAAATCTATATTCGTTTACAGAACATTCTCATAGTACGTAGTCAAAACATCCTCCTTAACCGGTCCGGCCACAGCCTTCAGAGCCTTGTGCGCTTCACACTCGGTATCGTAGTACTTCATATCCTCCAACGAAGCGAACGTCGTCTTGACGGATAGCGTGTACCCCTTGTTGCGGGGATCCGGGAAAGAGTGACCCGCAGCAGCAGCAACAATATACGGTTTGCCGTCCTATACGAGGTACCCCCGTTAGCAAACCACTCTATATAGGTAGCGCGGTAGTTGGAGATAATTGAAGAATAATTACCTTGGTCGCTGTCTTTGCTAGAATCTTGTATTGCTCTAGAACTCGGTTGCGGTCTTCTTCATTGGGGATGTTGAAGAGAGTGATGCGTTCGATGGGAGCCATTTTTGAATACTTCCTTCGTCTGATTGCTGGATTGGCGATATGTTATATAGCAGCTGGGGTCTTAATGCTGGAGGTAGTGGCAGGTGAATGAAAGTTTAAAATGGGTTGCGATGTTCTGGATATAAGCTACGGAAGATAAAAAGGACGTATGACCAACTATATATATATATACCTCCGATGGGGATGGGGGATTTATAGTTGGCGTAACCAGGTGCCCGTGAGGCGGGGTATTGTATTGGACCCAGTTATTATTGCGAGTTTCTACTTGGTTCTTTTCTTACAGTTGGCTGTGAAGCTTATGGATTGAGCTTTTGTCGTTTCCCTTCCGACGGAGTTCGGGTTGTCGGTTGGAGTCGGATGTTGATTACCAATGCTGTGTTTGCTTATTGTTTGCCCGTAAGTAAGACTCGATGGGACTTTCTTTTTTTTTTTTTTGGATAAAAAGGTAGATTTTGGATTGCATGATAATGAGAATAGTAGTAACATGGTGACTTGTTTTTGCTCTGAATTGATACTTCCACACAGCAATAGTGCGGAATGGTGTCCGTTTTTGGACGCAAATTTCCGCCCGGGTATTTCTTTTGTCGATCCCGCGGAATCAGGGACACGGCGTACCCCTCCAGTGTCCTTTGCGACTTTTAAGATTGCTCGAATCTTTACTTTCGGGTCCCCCTGGGTTGGCTGCGCTTGTTTAATTTATGACACTGTAGATTCCGTCGGGAAGGACATGCAGTTTCTTCGGTATGTCATTGTCCCAGTTGAGTTGCAGCTTTGGATGTCATAGTAGATAATCTGTGTCTAGGTAGTAGTTCTCGCCCCCTACACGCAGGAGTGATGTACTATAGACAACGAGGCTGATACCGATCGTGACGCTCCTGCCAATTCCTCGCTTGATCTCTGTCGTTGACCGTATCCTAGCCAAATTTGCACATCCTAGCATTGTACGTAAACGGCAGTATTCGTCCACGTGAATCGTGAGGTCGCAATCTGCCAGAATACCATACCACGACACCCAGGGCACCAACCAATCCTCTACCCGACTCATGACATAGTCTAGTGCCGATGCAAATCAACTATCATTGACAGGCTCAGGCCGATTCTTAAAGAACAGCTTATACTTGATGATCTCGACGATTTCCAGTTCTTCGCCATTGGAGTCAGAGGTCTCTTTTTGACGCCGTTGCACCAAAGCGAGCGGCTGCGCCAGTTTCTTCACCTCACCCGTCATGCGCTGGTATCGACCAACATATAGATAAACCCTCTTCATCCATTTCGTGTCGTCAGGCGCAGTCCTTTGCGGCGAATAATCGGGGAACATGAGCTTGCCAACTGGGGTCTCGAATGTAGGAATTGAGGGATCATGAGTCTCGTTGGTTGAGGTCGTAGCTTCGTCTTCAGCTTCTTGCGATGGGACATTGATTGTGCCTTGGAGTTCGAGGATTGCGAGTCCAGTTGGCGTCTGCAGGACCTGGGGGAGGGGATTGGGGAGAGAGGTGGGAGAGGAGACGCGTGGGTGGAGCGGGATTGTTGGCATTGTGCGTCCGATGTTGATGCTGTGGCTTTTCCTATACCTGTATATAGAGAGAATAGGTCTGCAAGAAGATCCTTTCTTGTGTTTTTTGAACTACTGCTGTTTGGATGAAGAGTATGACGGATTGGTGGTGGGTAGCTGAGATTTGGAGACGCGATTTAACGCGTTTCGGCAGTTCTCCACTTTATCAATCTTATCAGTGGCCCTCTTTCCTTTTTGGGACATCGTCACCATGTAGTAAGAAAAGCGTCAAGTAAAATACAATTAACCCTATTTATATAGAATTGAATCTTGAGGAATAGAAAATTGTTGCCTAGTAGAGAGATAAGGAATTGTCTTACGGGAGAGCTTTGGGTCCAACCGAAGGGAAACACTCATTCTATTGGTCCCATTGGATTCGTGGGAAAGCTTTCTTAGGGCATTGGTCTATCTAGAGGGTTAATCCTGAGCGACTAGCTCCTGTCTAACGCCTTGATCATTCAACTTTGTGTATATGATATTACAACTGCCTGTCTAGGGAATGTCTGAGCATAGCCCTCGATATCATTGTATCCAAATCCTTGAGCTGACAATAGACCGACATCCGTAATCGACCTATTACATGTCCTAAACTACCCAATGGTTCTGTACTCGCTATTTGAGTATACTGTAGATCCCAGTGAGGATTCTGTTTATCGTTGTTCTTCCATGCCTCGACGGGCGTATGATGTAGCAGGTAGTTTTCGAAGTTCGGCAGCAAATGCTGAATGCATTATCCTAGGAGTCCAGGACAGACGGTGCCGAAATTTCTGCTCATAGATGGCGTATTGTTCACCAGCTAGCCATGATAGAAGGCCCAATCACTGGCTGTGAACATACAGTGAATAAGGAATCCTCTCTGCGTGTCCATTTCAACAACTCTTCGTCCAGACGTCCAAGGGTTTCAAATTAGAATCCACCACCACCTCAAGCATAAAAGTACCCAACTATCAATATAATGGAACATGAGAGAGTTTGTATCGCATAGCCGGTTTTTCCAGTTCCTAGAATAACCCGAAGACTTAAGTCCAACTACAAGCGCTAGATTTTGTTCAATTGTGTCTTGCCTCTTGAACTAGATTAACCAGACATCCAAGAAGTGCACCAAATTTCTAGATGCATCATACCTCATTATTGCGCTTTCTGAGCTGTGTCGTTTGCAGAAGCTGGGCATCTTCTGAAATCGTTGACTACACGAGTATAGACTGCTAACAATAGTCAAGCGTAGGAGCAGGAGTTGAGGCGAGAGGAGCCAGCAAGATGAAACCGGCACCCATGAGAGCTTGGTCATTCTTCCAATTATTGCTGAAGCTCGTCTAGACCGTGCTCCCTCACACGAGGGCGCAGGTAGGGTAGTGATTTAGTCTCCTACACCAGGAGAAATTATCGCATAGGAACCAGTAGAAGAAGAAATACCGTGTAGAGGTGCTGATTGTGGAAGAATTAGGGAGAATGAGTTCGTAGTCCAAAACGAGGTCCTGGCGATGCTATACAGAGAACCCCCCCCCAACCCCCCCCCAAGATAATGAACATAAAGAAGTCATAGACATCCTTTATCACCTTAACCGGGCGATGACAAGATTTCTCCAATGCCTTACGTAGTACACCAAAGACTCACGCCTGCAGCAGCTGTAAGTTCAGAGCGCCACGGTGACTGTCATCAAGACTTGTGATAGCAAGCATTCTCGAGATGTTCCAGGCCATTGATGGTTTCGTTCATCATGTCTTCGCTTGTTGTCCCAACAGGACCTTGCGTTTTACCGTAGCGCAGATCGCTCAATTCACCTACTGTGAGATTAAGCTCGGAAAGAAGAGTGCTTGCGTCTTTATCAACCATAGAAATTTCGCGCTCAATATTAGCACAGGCTGTCTCCATCGTGGAGAGGAGACTCGAAACTGAATGGTAATCGCTGGGCGCAGCGGTGGACGTCTGGCCAAACAACTGGATATCCATGTCAATTTCACGTTGATCATTGGAGCTCATACCATCCACACCGGTGCTTAGGATGGATTTACGAAGTTCTCCTTTTTGGCTCTCCCCTTGACGGAGTTCTTGGTCAATGTTTCCATTGACCAGATCCATGTCTTGCTCTCGGAGTTGCTGGAGCTCCCGGTAAAGAACTCTGATATGCGGATGAGCGCGCAAGCGCTTTGGAAAGAGTTCCGTGAATTGTTGCAAGGAGATAACTGTGGGCAATGAAGCCGGAGATAGAAGGAAATTGCTTAGAATGGATGCTTCTGATGGAGCCATGATCGCGAAATTGCTAGCGAAACATGCAATTGCAACTGGAAGTTTAGAGAGAACAGAGTTTATCTTCTCCTTTTTTCTTCTTTACAGAACCCCTAAGTTCTCTGATGTTTGATGGATCTTGGCTGGTGTGGTATTCAAGGTCAAGACTGTCTTGAACCAATCGGACCAGCCTTTGCGGAAGCAACTGATGACGGGGGTTAACAGTAGTAGGAAAGAGTTATCTTTTAGCCGTGTAGTCTAATCCAGTAAAGAGTACTGCTGAAGTCTCTAGAAAGGGGAATGGTAATATCAGAAAACAAGGGGTGTTGGTGGTGAACGTTGGGGGAATAGGTTGAAATGAAGACGTTCCTTTCTTTCTCCGATAAATTAGCCCTTTTTCAGCACGCGTTAAGTTCCACTTCCGCTTTCTTACCTTTTCGGGTCTTTTCCCTGAACACGCGCAACACAAGTCATACTCCAGATTTCCTTTCGCTTCCTCCACCTTATCCTTTCCTCTCAGATACCCTCATTGCTCCGAGCTCAGTGTTGCTCTGTATTGTAGCCTTCTACGCTTGACATCTTCACCTTATCCCTAATCCCTCGGGCACTTGTCTCAAAAAATATCAGTGCTTCGAGAAGCCAGGGTTCTTGTCAGCAAGAGTTCCAGTTGTATAACGGACTCTTTGATAGTCATTAGTTGTGCGATCAGGGGTAGTCTCCGTCAGACCGGACACTTGCATCTTCAAATCCCATTGCACTGAAATTTCTCTCTCCCGGTCATTGATTGATTGCATGGCACGTGGTCTTTAGAGGAACAGCAAGTATTGGGAACATCGGCCTGAACCAACTTCAGGGTTGTTTCTTCCTCTGCCTTCTAAATCAAACCCTGTGGCTGGGGCCCAACTTCTTCATCCTTCTTTGCACCCCACCTTTTTCCAAAACACAAAGCTCCTTGAGTCTTACTTTTGTCCTTTTCAAAATGGCACCAGCTGGCCAAACCACTTATCAAAAAGACGAGCGAGTGCTCTGTTTCCACCATGAGATTTTGTACGAGGCAAAGATCCTCGACGTCAGACACGTCGATCCCGACGACCGCAAGAGCCCGTATGAGTACCTTGTGCACTATAAGGGCTGGAAAAACACGTACGTATATCCTTGATGTTTTGCGTTTCCCGTGTGTCGTCGATCTTTCATACCTAAATGAGCAAGATTGTATCTACCCCTTGCTCTTCTACTAGCTACGAAGCTCTTCTGGACACCCTACGAGTGTTGGGGATAAAATATCTCTCATCTGCATTGGCGGGTGTACGTGGACTTGGCTGACCTGGCTTTTTGCCACATTTAGCTGGGATGACTGGGTCCCGCAAGATCGTCTTCGTAAATTTACCGAGGAGAACAGAGAACTTGCAACTACTCTTCGCCGCGAGGCCGAGGCTGCGTTCCGTCAGAAGAGCACCAAGGCCTCCGCAAAGAAAAGGGGAGGTTCCGATCGTAGCTCCGCCCGGGGAAGCGAAGAACGCCAGATGTCCGTTCCTGGCCGCGGAACCAAGAGAGCCAGGGACAACGATATTGAAAAGGTGAGTTTGCTACATTTACTATTCAACTTTTAAAACTTGTCAATGGCCATGATCTGGTCATGGCATCGATGATAAGGCTTGACACCTGTGTTGGGAATCGTAACTCCTCGAGGCAACTAGACTGACAAAGAACGCTCTCAGGAGGATAGCTTTTATGTACGGCCATCTGTGAGGATTGTTATGCCCGACAATTTGAAGTCACTTCTGGTCGATGATTGGGAGAACGTGACGAAGAACCAGCAAGTCGTAGCTTTGCCGGCTAAGCGCTCGGTTAATCAAATCCTGGAAGATTATTCTGAGGCAGAGAAGCCCAAGCGCACAAGCTCGGCTGATCTGGATGTCCTCGAGGAAATTATTATGGGAATCAAGGAGTACTTTGACAAAGCCCTTGACAAGATCCTCCTTTATAGATTTGAACGCGAACAGTACCGAAACCTCCGCAAGAAGTGGGAGTCGGGATCGGGGGACTTTGCCGACAAAGGCCCCTTGGATATCTATGGTGCCGAGCACTTAACTCGTCTTTTCGGTATGATGTTCTGTATGATATTGTTTGAAGACTACCGCTGACCATATCTAGCCACCATGCCCGAACTGATTGCGCAGACCAACATGGATCTCCAATCTACTAACAGACTCCGCGAGGAACTCTCCAAGTTCACTCTCTGGTTGAGCAAACACTCTAGCCAGTACTTTGCTACCAGATATATGACTGCCAGCAATGAATATGTCGAAAAGTCTAAGGGTGTGGCAAACCCCAACCCTGGTACTGCTACTTCACGTTTGGTCTAAAGGGGTTCAAGGGCTTCAATACCCACCGACTTTTTTTTTTAATTTTTTTTTATTATTTTTTTCTTTAAAATGGTGATGTTGCATGATGGGCTAAATTGTTATTCTTTTTTTTTTGAACAAGATCTCCTTTCGTATTTTATTTACAGCACTGTGGTGGTTTCAGGAGCATGCAAGGATGAGCTTTTTACGCGAGTTATGGCTTCTAACGGTTCACTTTGTAACATTAGAGGAAATCGGCGAATATTATGTAACAGTTTAATTCTTCTAATCCCTCTTCTCTTTGGCCATCAAGTCTGATTCCGTAGACCAGAATAAGCACGGATATCATGGACATTCTGTATCAAACTTCCTACAGAAACCACAGAAACCATAGCACTTTTAACCAAAGTTCAGTCACACCAACAAGCAGACCAAACCCAAGTAAACTACCTACACCACCAACTGCCTGGCATCTTCAACCACACACCTGGCAGCCTGCTTCAACTCCGTCTTCGTATCCGTCTCCCGCCACCTAGTCCAAGCGCTCAGACCCTCCGGCGGCTGAATGCTCAACGTATCGTACCCCTGCTTGATAATGCGATGAACTTCCCTGGGACCGAGGTTTTTCTTCCGGTGCGCCGGGATAGGCGCCACACCCTGGCCGTCAGCATCGGGCTTCGCATCAGTCTGCTCCGGGTTAAACAGCAGGGTGTAGAAGTGGGTTGAGACAGAAATGAGGGTGTCAACGGCCGCAACGTGGACGTCTTTGGACGGATTGGGGTCTGTAGGTTTCGAGCTCGGTGGTTTCAGGGAATACACGTCGCGGTATTTGGTGATGATGGGGCCTGTTTCGACTAGTTTGTAGAAAAGGTCGTCGTAGGAGGAAGGGTCTGGGAGGAAGGTGTCGCCTGCGGAGACGCAGAATGCGATCAGGTCTACGAGGGTTGTGGTTAGGGTGGTGATGTTAGGGTTAGACGAGAGGTCGGTGACGTAGGTTGTTAAAAAGCGCATGAGCGAGAGAAGGTTGCGCCAGAGTTCCGACCAGTGGTATGCTAGGCGGATTTTGTTCATGGATAGGTAGGTGAGAAGGCGGAGAAGTATCGCGATTGAGTGGCTGTTAGTGCGGTTAGTATAGGGTATGATGTGGGAGTGGTTGGGAGTGGGGTTGATATGTACCTGTAGATGTTGACGTCGAGGCGTCGTCGCAGATTGTGGGAGATTGTGTCGATTATGATGTCGAAGATGACTGTTGCGAGGACGCGGTCCCCTGGGACTACTGGTAAATATGGCTGCCTTTGGCGACAGAGACGGATTTTTCTTTTGTTCTCGTCGCTGCAGAGATGCTTGCAGAGGGTGGAGTCCTCGGCGAGGATGCGGAGCGTGAAGAGGTTGAGTTCTGCATAGTGCGCTATCCGTGGAGAGCGGTAGGCGTGGTGCAGAAGATAGGACGTCAATGAGAGGAAACTGGCAAATGGTGACTCCTCATTGTCCTTCTCTGGGGCTTGGCTGATCAGATGGTGGCCAAAGAGTTTGTTGGCATTCGTGAAGTCATAAGTAGCCAGAAGGATAGCTGCTTGCTGAGCGGGCCTAGTTCTGTTAGCTGTTGGTCAAATCCTGTGGATGCACCCTGTCTTACAGTGTCGCGAACATCTCCTTGGCTTCTTCTGCACTCGGTGGGCTAGCCTTGTCTTTCTTGCTTGGGGAGAGGGCCCCTAGGCCAAAGTAAACCAACGTGCTGAACAGCGTCCACCCCTCGGGGGCGTCGTCCTGCACAGCAACATAACCGTTCCTCACGGCGGCGCAGGAGACACCGACTCCCTTGACAATCTTCTGAATGCTTGCCTCGTTGACAAAGTCGTCAAGTCGCAGCTGGTAAGGGTTTTGGAATTCGAATTTGTTGTAGTTTGCCAGCAATCCCAGAAGAAGGAATGAGTCAAAGACTTGGATCGGAGTTTCAGATTCTTGGACGAACTGCACGACGAATTAGATATTCTAGGGTACGCTAGAAAAACATAGATGAGCATTGAAGACAAACCTTCATGATGGACGGGAATAAGTCGCGATGCGTAAAATATGAAACCAGACTGGTCTTATATGCGCCACTAGTCATGGCGATAGCTGTCTTGATAGCCTTGATGCGCAAATCAACTGAAAAAAATGTTAGTATGGGCTATTCCAGAAACATGACAGGGAACCAATGAAACTTACAGCTGCTTCCATTGCGAATAATGCCGTCCAGTACGGCGACAAAGTTCGAGATAACTTGGTCAACGTGATCGAGACCGGCAAGAACTGTAATGACATCCGAACTAGGGTTGGTGTACTTCTTCTTCAAGATACAGGCTAGAAAGACCATCAAGGTCTACGTCACTCCTTAGAGGCTGAAATACAAAGCAATGGATTCTATGAATACACGCACCTCTAGTGCATATGAGTCCACGGGACTAACTCCCGAAGCAGCTTCACGGATAGCACGAATGAAAAGCTGCTGGGTTTGGACCTAATGCCAAGTTAGCACTCAGAAAGAGCATTCTCGTAAGCCATGGTTGGGATGATACCTGCAAGTTGAGCGTTTCATCAGGGCTGAGCTGGTCTAGGATAGACCTGAGCTGGCTCCGGTCAGGCGGCAGCAGAAAGAATTCCCTCCAAAATCCCTCGGAGGGTTCATTATAGTCCGAAGTCTACAAGGGGTAAGTCAGTATTTAGTAAGTCAGAAGGTTAGATGGCTAGACGGACGTGAAATAGGTTCTCGTATAGTTGCACGACTTTAGGCTTGAAGGTTTCGGGTCTAGTTTGCTGAGTTAAGGGAGACTCCATGATGGTTAGACTGATTCAATGATCTGCACGGAACATAGGACCGCGGCTAGCATCGCAGAGAGGAGAGCAATCGGGCGAGAGACAGACGGGCAAGAATGGAGCAGAGTATGAGTTCTATTGTTTCTATCATTACACCCATCCACGTCGTCGTATCGCAACCCGAGAACGGCCACATCCTTTTTCTGCCTATTTGGGTCAAACCCACATGAGCCACGCACGCTCTTTGGCCGGTCAAGCCACATTTCATTACATCCAAAACGCTCCACTTGTTTGAGATCTTTTTAATATATTAAGATAATAAACAATCTTCTTTTTGTTGTCTTAGGTTTCAAGTCGTCCTTTTTAAAGGGTCGCTTGATTAGTATCCCAACCATCTTACTCCCATATATTACTTCAAGCCCTCAATTTCCCTAAACAATGTGACATACAATACAATTGAAGATGACATAATCGTTCTAGTCAGGGGCTATAAAACTTAATATGAGAGACAGAAAACACATCCTTTAAATCTGCTACCAGGTTAAATACTAGTATCGCCTCCGTAGACACTGCAGTAGCGTCATTCCAGGAGCTTATTACGAATGCTTATGGTAGTGCACTAGAAGGTACTCACCAACCTTTGTGACATTTGGCTTTTATTGAGGATCGAATGTGGAAGAAAGTCATTAGTCATCGGCCTCGTGCCTGAGGTATCCGTTGCGGAAACAGCTGCTGACAATCACCTCACCTTATTAACGGTCCGGTATGATGGATTCATCCCCATAAAATCCAAGTCAATAGAACAATCGCACTACGTATTACCAAAAGATTAGTGAAAAACAGAGCCGCATTCATGCAAAGTAAGCGAACCATTCGCCGACTAATGGTCATCTACCCCATAAATGGCACTATATTAGAATGATGGGACACCGATCAGATGACAGGAAAGTCATAAGTGGCGCCACTGAACTTGTGTAGAAACACCTCGACGATGATTGGCCCGCCGGGTACTCACGGTGACCCTCTTAACCGACCGCTGACTTTCTTCCTCCTCAAAACAGAACTCAACCTCCGAGTCACATCAATTCTCCCCGTCTACTTGACAATTTGCTTTCCCTCTCCACTAGATCACGTCAGATCCCATGAGAACTTAGCGCTTTGTTACTTCTATCATTGCATAGAGCCTTTGAACACCCCATATTCATATCTACAATCACCATGTCCTTCTGCAGAGTTACCGTTCGCTCTCCAGTGACATCATCCGCCACGATGTTGCGCTGTGTGAGGAACCCCTACAAGACCCCGGCGCATCGTCTGTTCTCCTCATATGGAAATGCACACCGGTCTTCCAAGCGCGACATGCAGACCGCTACTGCGTATCGCCCGCATTCCTTGCCGACCGCTTTTCCTCCCCCCCGGAGCGGTGGAAGTTACGACACCTCTATCTCCGCAGATTTCCCTCCGCTCCGAGAGACATCGGCGCAGCAGCAAGGAGTCTTCCCAAATGTTAGCCTCAGAGAGAGTGAGGCCCAGAAGTCCAAGCCTGTCGAATCGACTTCTCCAACCTCGAAGCCCGCGGAAAAGCCTAGGAGGAAGTTACGTGCACGGAAAGCGGCCATGAAGCTGTCACCCGAGGCTATCGTGCAACTCCGTAAACTACTCTCTCAGCCGGACCCGAAATTGATCCGAGTTGGCGTAAAAAACCGTGGCTGCTCGGGCCTCGCCTACCATCTCGAATACGTGGAGAAGCCGGGTACCTTCGACGAAGTTGTGGAACAGGATGGCGTCAAGGTTTTGATTGACAGCAAGGCGCTGTTCAGCATCATTGGTAGCGAAATGGATTGGCAAGAAGATAAATTGAGCAGGAGATTTATCTTCAAGAACCCAAATATCAGTATGTTTCCCAGCCACTTTTTCATCCTTTAAAAGTCGGTGAAACCATGATTGCTAACATTTTCTCAACAGAGGAATCATGCGGATGCGGTGAATCCTTTATGGTTTAGATTGCCGTTCCGATTTTCTTTTACGGCCTTTTGGAATTATCAACGGTGCATCGGACGGCGTTCTTACGGATTGTTATCTCCTGGATTATCGAGTCTCCCCCCTTCTTCCTTGTTGAATACACCAGTGATTCCCGGGTTATAAAGCCCACATCGTGTAATACATACTGCTTTCTTTTCATCCTGTATGCCAAGGGCTTTACCTTGGCCGTTAGAGCTATGCACAGTATGCGTCCTGAGTAACTCTGTGCTCGCTTTTGCCTTTATTCTATATCAATAGTGATATCGAATCCAATGACAAAAACTCCTTTGAAACAATCCCGCATGTGTATACAAATTTATTTTTTCTCCGAAAGCTTTTGATGTCATATTGGGCAGTTAAACGGAAGTTTTCCGTTTCTGCCCTAGGGTTTCCCGCCATGACGTTGAGTGATGGAGCCTATTGAATACCGCAGTACGCCGTAGATGCATAACATAAATAGGATGAAACCTAGAACTCCACGGAGGAGTTACGAGAAACCATACAAGGCAGACAGAAATTCTAGCTTCTCAGCCCTAGAAGAATGATAGGCATTCCTCTTACAAAATCCCCGGTATCACGTGGGGCCTTATCGGGGAAAGAATACTAGCGCCAATCTATCACTCCGGATGGGGGGAATCAGTCCATTCAGCACTGACTCCGCATCTCGACTTCCTACTGTTATACGACACATTCGAGCCTTGCAAATACCCAACTCTCGTGCAACCATTGAACATTCCATGCGCTGCCCCTCCTCTTGGTTGTCCAATAATCCAACACGAAAATGACAACACCAACCTTCCTATCCCCAAACCACAATTCCGAGGAGGACCCGGCACCCGACCCTCTCCTCCTCACCATCCGCTTCTCAGCCTCAATCCCCGACCTCTCACTCGACGTCCTCTACCCCGAAACAACCACATCAGCAGGCCTAAAACAACTAATCCGCACCCGACTCTCACCAAACCTCTCATCCCACCGTCTCCGGCTAATCTACGCCGGTCGCGGTCTTGAAGACACCGTCCCGCTCTCCGTCTCCCTTAAACTGCCCCCCTCACCCGCCCGCTCACCCAGATTACCCTCCGACGATGAAGCCACCGATCTCTCAAAGGGAAAGGGCAAAGCGCCAGTCCGAGAACCACCTCGTCTGTACATTCATTGTTCGATAGGCGATATCGTCCTTTCAGCTACAGATTTAGCGACAGAAGCATCGTTAGCATCTACGCTCCAGCAAGAGGATCAGTCACAGAAAGATGGTGATCAGTCAAGTCTGCAGAGTCAACATCAGCAGCAGCAGCAGCATCAGACGTCCTCGACGACACCTGCGCCCCGTGGTTTTGACCGGTTGTTGTCGGCGGGGTTTACCCCCGCGGAAGTGTCAGCGCTGCGGTCGCAGTTTATGGCTATTCAGTCTGTGTCACGGACGCCAGATACCATGCCAAGTGGGGCAGAGTTGCGGGAACTTGAGGATCGGTGGATGGACGAGGGTTCGTCGGCAATGGCAGCTGGGGTAGGAGGGGCTGGAGAGGGAGCGGGTTTCACGGATGATGATGGGGGGTTTGGGTCGGGGTCGCGAGGGGCTATGGATGATATGCTTTGGGGCGCTGTCATGGGTTTCTTTTGGCCGGTGGGGTGTGCGATGTGGTTGAGGCGGGAGGAGGGGGTTTGGAGCTGGCGAAAGGGTTTGGCGGTGTTTGTTGGGGTGGTTGTTAATCTTGCGTTCGGGACGATGCGTATCATGAACTGATACTAGGCGGTATTTGTTGTGCTTTGAATTTCATCCTCCTGCTTCTCGTTATATGTACTAATGATACCCCGAGGTTTTGTTCTTGTTATTAATAGAGTGCGCCAATTGAGTCGTTGAGTTGTATCAAAACTACCAAAGTCGGCTTGATTAGGCCATGGAGATGCTATCATACAACGTTGCTTAGCAATGCCTGCTACAGCAGGCACGGTGTCGTAAGATGAATAGAAAAAAAAAAAACTCCCGCACAACGCCTGCTAGCCCTAACGCTTAATGGAACTTGCTGTAGATAACAGCAATAATCAGGAGAACCAAAACGGTTATAATAGCAATAGTAATTATCCGATTCGTAGCCATCCTGCGCAAAGCAAGGAAATGTCAGCAATATGAGCTATAGGGTGGAAGGGTAGGGGTCGAAGGAGTCAGTACCTACGGGCCATGCCCCTCAATGTTTTGATACTGGTATCAACATATCCTTCGCTTTGCTGCAGATTGTTCCGGGTATTCATAATGGTTTCCCGTTGCTGATTCAGATCTGCTAGCGTGTTGCGGCCGATATCCTCCGTCTCTAAAGCAATCCGCTGACTTTCTTGGAGTCTGGCAGAGCTGCGCTCCAGGCGGTCCGTGCCGGACAGAAGCTGCTGTCTCTGCTCCAGGTGAACATCCTGCGGGTCGTCGGTGTAGCGATCGCCAAAGAGCGCTTTTCGGTCGTCAGAAAGAGACTTGAGCTTGCGTTTCGACTCATCAAGGTCCGTGGCATAGTTGCGGAATCGTGCGTTAACTTTTGACCGTGCCGCCGAGGGGATGTTTTGCTTCTCCATGCGCATCTGGTCCAACTGCAAATGATCGGACCTGTCAATGAGATTTCACGGAGAATTGTAAGGTAAGCAACCAACCAGCTCAGTAGCTTCATCTAGCACTTGCTCCGCTTTCCGTATTGACGATTTCCGTTGCTCTCCACTCGACTCGGCGATCTGGTCCAATGTCTGGTTCAGATCGGCCTGTATCAGTTTCAGCTCGGCCTCGTAACTACTGAACAGCTCTGAGCCGGCATCGGTATCTAACGGGTTCGACATGATGATGAGATGCTATCTAGGTGAAAAAAAGAAAAAGAAAAAAAAAAAAAAGGAAATTTGTGTATGTTGCGACGTTGGTCTAAATTGGGTTTTTAAAGCGCTCAATAGTCGCTGATAGGCAGGCGGATTCCGGGGGACCACCTTATCTTGCGGTGGCTGGTGGCACCTTCGATCACAGAACGAACTTAGCAGGAGAACACACACTTTTCTCTCTACACAATGTAGGGAGTGGTCGCTGATGCGCGAAATGAAGGGCACACGAACAAGACCGAAAGCTGTGAATGTCTGCTGGTTGAATGAGGGGAAAAGTACGGAGTAGGCAGAATGACGATAGGATGCCAATGATTGTCATTCCGGGACAGGAACACCCCGATCCACACGTGATGCGCGGCCGAGGTTGAGGTGTCCGTTTTTGATCGTTCTTACTATGTACGCTATGTATTCCGTACAACTACGTATTAGGTACTCTATAGTAAGGTCAAGTATACTGGAGGTAAGTATAATTCTGGACTGATTGGCGGATCTCCTTGTAATACTCTTGATCTTCCGTGCAAGAATATACGTCATCTGTCAGCCTTTTTCATAGTTAACGAACTAGTGCAACTGATGTGCCCACGATCAACGAAATCTGATATGCGTGCAGATACCATGTATGAGCCACCCAGCTATTACAACTGGAGCTTGTGGAGTATGCAACCTATTAACCCTGTGGAAAAAGAACCCCATCGGAACCTGGCCAATGACCACTTTGGGTGCTTTGGAGTGTCATAATGCGATATTTATTTCCCCCTTAAAAAGCCAATTTGCCGCTGGTTCACCCATGAATAACCGCCCTGTCATCTGATACGATCACACCCTAGTAGGCTGGAGAGCGTGTCTCGATGAGCCCCGTAACCGCGTTATGTTGACATTCTCTCGTTTCCTCCTGAACTACTCCGTAATCCTTTCGCCATACTTTAATACCACCCTATTTCTCGCCACCCCCCCGGAAAGTATGAGCTGAGGTCTGACTGGGCGCGAGTAGTATAGATCTATCTCCTGTTTCATCCCCAACCCGTGCAACAGTTGTGCACCAACTGTTGCATTTCGTATAGAAGGCCGTTTCCGCCTTTAACTTGCTGTTATTGATTTTTTAATCGGATAGGAAGCTGGTTATCAGAGAACTTCTATCCCATGCCGCTTCCTCACTCCGAACGAGTCGCTATTGTTGGCGGCGGCTGCACTGGCACTACTTGCTTCTGGGCATTGCAACATTCGGCGCATGATGTCCACCTGTTTGAGGCTTCGGCAAGCTTGGGTGGGCGTATCAAGTCCCTACCATTAGAACATAGTGGGAAAGAAGTCAATGTGAACACAGAATCGCCATCCTTCAATGCCGGAGCTTCTCGTCAGTTTTGTTATACCAGAAGGGCAGTTCAGGGCTAACATCTATATCCAGCCAATCTCGTGTCTTTGCTCCGCTACCTAGGAATAAGCACATCCGCCGTACCATTTAGTTTTGGCGTGTCAAACGGTGTAGATACTTATGACTGGTGTGGCGGTGTTTGGAATACTATTCTTCTGCACCCGTGGATGTTGTGCAGTTTAGGAACCTTTCGTTTGTTGTTCGACATCATATGGTTCAACTATTTGGCCATGGATATATTGATAGACAAGCGTCGATCCCATGACAAAACCAACGTTCACCAGCCGCTCAGCACACATAAATTTCTTTCGAAGGAAGGGTATTCAAAGAGCCTCTGCGACGAGTACCTAGCGCCTTTGCTTTCAACCCTGTGGGGGACGAATATTGGAAGGCTACTTCCACATTTTCCTATGACGACCCTCATTCGCAGTTTATGCGACCATCAACTCTTTGACACACAGCGAACTACGCCAGATTTTCGGCGTATCGACGGCGGGACAAGCCATGTTGTTCAGACCATGGCCAGGGAATTCTCCCCTGAAAATGTGCACCTCAATACCAGCGTCCGGGAGATAGGCCGTATGGGTAAAAGACAATATAGCATTTTCACGGCGGATGGGAGAGAATTAAACTTCGATCATATAATCTTCGCTGTGGACAACGACGAGATCCTTAAGATACTAGGTTCCAATATAGATACCGAAGAGATGGAAATCATCCAGGGGCTCAAAACAACCAACAATATCGCCGTCTTACACTCTGATCCTTTTGTAAGTAACCCACGGCCCTCTACCATAAGCGACACAATTGAACCACCACTTATGCATTCGAAACTAGCTGGCACCCAACATCCATGGCTCTTGGTCCACCAACAACTACACCCTAGACCTCACCGATCACCCCCAGCATGACTCTCCGGCGGGGGCACCCCGCAAATCCAGCCTCACATACAACGTAAACTCCCTCCAAGATATCCCAACCTGTCTCTTCGATCGGCTATACATCACTCTGAACCCATTTACGCCGCCACATCCCCGCTTCGCACACAGCATATGGGAATACACCGACCTCGAACTCAGCACCGCAACTCTCCAAGCTCAAAGCCGTCTTCCTTTGATTCAGAGCAAGAGGGGATTGAGCTACGGCTTCCGTTGGACCGGACGTGGGTTTCTCGAAGATGCGGTTACTTCTGGTCTCGAGATGGCTATTGAGCATTTAGGTGCTCAGATACCTTTTGAGGTTCAATACCATCCTGATCCCATGTGTTCCTCGAAATCTCCACCTATAGAGCTAAGTTTGAAGGACCATCTTGTTCGGACGGCACTTTGTCTGGCTCGGGTCTATGTTCTGGTTTTCCAGATTTCGTGGATCTTATTGGGGGCGCTTGGGTTCCCTGTCTCAAGAGTTGAGACTATGTTTGAGTGGATGTTGGGTGGGGATCGAATAGTTAAATCTTAGTGGACCGCTTTGATGATAGAAAACTTTTATAGAACTGGATTCTATAGCGGAAATGAGATCAATGAAAACATGAGACTAGTTGACATTAACGTTAAATGACTATGATGGATCATTCGCCTGGCCAGTGCAAGATACATCAGACGTGGTATACATATTGCTCTCTTTTCTTCAGTTTCTTTTACTCTTGTGCTCTTTTCTCAACCCAAAGAATTAGTTCAAGAAAAATCTGCTTCATTTCCACAAAATACCCTCTAAAGGAACTTCTCGCTATCCTGGCTTACAATTGTCGCACTTCTCTTTGCATCAAGGAAGAGGTCTTCGCATTCGGCCACATCGGCCTCCTCGATACCTCCTGGCCGTCCGTTGACCCGTGCAAGGATGCTAGCTGGGGTCAGTAATTGCAGCGCGTACCGCAGGCTGACATTGCTGCCGTGCTCGGAGATCTTGTCGAGGGCGGGATCGGTGATGTTGAGACCTTCCGTCTTGGCACGGAGGCGAATGATAGTCTTGATCTCGTCAGAAGAGTAAGGGTGGGTGGGGATGATAAGGAGGCGAGCGAGGAGGTCGGAAGGAATGCCGTGTGCGGCGGAAATGTCGTCGGTACCGCGGATGACAGTGTGGCCACGGTTGGAGGCGAGGATGACGATGGGGGAGATTGTGGACTCAAGTGCCCGGTTGAGATAGGTGAAGCATTCGATATCCAACATGTGAACCTAGAATGGGAATGTTAGAAACGTAGGGCGGTAACGCAGTCATGATAAGTCACATACCTCATCAATGAAGAGAACACCAGGAACCAGCTCAGCAACTCCTTGGTCGATATATCGGCTAACAACCTTGTCGATCTCCTGGCGCAGCTTATCCGTGATTTCGGTCTTCTTGGGCTTCATCAGTTGTCCCATCATGCTCATAACGTCCTGTCCACCTTGTGGTCGAGCGTTGGCCATGTCCAGGTCATGTAATGTCACGTCCTGTACGATTTCCTTCTTCTTGTGAACCTCTCCCTTGGGTACAGGAACGTATTCTTCCGCTTCAAGGTCAAACTCGGTCGCATATGCATCGGATCGTCCAACTCTCTTACAAGCACCAGTGTTCGCTTCGATGTAGATAACATCTCCAACAGTGACTCGTTCTTTCTGGATAGCTTCATAAATGCTGGGATCAAGGCGTAGCTTCTTGGTTCCCTTCGCAGACTTCAATCCGATAATCAAGTGACTGATTGTACGTCCATAGCCTCCCAACGGGTTTTCAGTTTCCTCAGGCGTAAGCTCGGTGACTTCACCTTCGTACACTTCTTTCGTTTCACGGACACGGAGACCTAAAAGCGTGTTAACCGCGAACATTTCAACCTGTAAAAAAAAAGCGCTGCACACCAATCGCTCTCCGAAAGTTCTCCATAAGTGCCTCCGTTTTCTTAACCTCAGCAGAGTAGACTTCGCTGCCAACGATCGGACAAAATGGGACCTTGGTTCCCAGTTCCTGTGAAACGGCAAGGGCGAGCGCCGTCTTTCCAGTTCCCGGTCCACCGGCAAGTAGAACAGCACGCCCAGCCATCTTCTTCGCTTTGATCAAATCGACGACAACACCGCATGCCTATTGAGGAGAGCTAGTTAGTATTGTTATCGTCGAATAACGCGGTCGGAGGGGGAGAGCATCGCGCACCTCACGGGCGGTATTTTGACCAACAAATCCATCACTAGAAGCCTCTGCAGTGCCGTCAGAACGTAATCCAAGACCCTTGATATGCGTGTGCGCGGCGGTCCTGTTCTCGCGCGAATTGCCCTTCACTTCGCTGATCTGGACCATGGTGAAAGGGTTGCGACCTCAATCAGAAGTCACGATAGGCTAATTCAACTATGATCGGAACGGTCAGGGATTGAGATGTCAATTATGTATTACTGAGAAAAAATGAAATTGATGAGCCAATAGCGAAAACTGGAGAAAGGACGATAGCGATGGATGCTCTGGCCGAAATTCAAAGCGCAGCTTAGCGGACCGCTCAATGATAGCCGCCCGTTGCTAAGGCGGTGAAGCCAACTCCCAAATTCTTTCACCTCACTGAGGTAGTCAACGAACTACTCCGGCCCTCCATATTTATCGGATTACCCGTCGTGTCCTTCGACGCCGTTCACTTCCT